CCTAATCTGTATATATGAAGTGTAATGATTTTTAAATAGTAAAAGAYAAATGATATCCTTGTCTGTTAAATAGGCTTCTATTTTTTCAAAAATAAAATGTGTAATGTTTTTAGTAGCAGAAAAAATACAGTGGAGCTTTTAAGTTACATATGTCCTGATCAAAGATATGTGCTCTCTGTGAATTAGAGAATTAAGGGTCAATCACGTTGTCAAATGCTGACATTTGCTTATTTTCACTAGGTCCTAGGAGTATTATCTGTTGGATTCCAGGATTCAGTGGTGCACAAAAACAATTGATGGATTAGCTGGTTATTTAAAGTGGCTTAGCATGCATTGGAAAGACAGTGAGGGTAGTAATGATATTCTCAATTATGCACTTAAAAGAAAAGTAGCTCTATAAAAAAATCCAATATAAGAATTAATTCAGAGACATCAGAATAACATCTGGAACTTGCAAATGCTCAGAAGTTGTTTGTAGTGATAAATATGTTTACCAAACTGGTAGCCAATAATTGGCTCACCTATTGGAGAAGAGGAATAAGTATAAGTAGCAGAATACTAGCCAGAATATAATCAGTACATTAGCTGACATATATTAAAAACTTAAATAATGGTATTAATATTTAAGAAAGCAAAATCTGTAGCAAAATATCTACACAATATAATTATATAGTGTTTATATATATGATACCRAAGTGGAACTAAAAGCATCATTTAAAAACTTCTATAAGCATTAAATTAAATAATAAGTAAAATAGTAAAAAAACCTACAACATTATGACAGGCAATGGTTCACTAAGCAGTGTTCTTTTTTTGCTGGTTTACACAGCGAGTCATGAGAGCTTGCTGTAATCCCGATTAAGTAAAGAAGCTCCAAATCAGATTATACATCTGGTAGCAATTAGATAGAACAGTTACCATCTGGGGACATGGTATTTCCACCGGAAAAAGAAAAAAGAAAAAAAAATGTGGCTTAACTAAGTCATAGTAAACCATAAACCTCCTGGTTCTTTGTAAATGGCACTCACACAGGTATGTCGTTGCATTATTATTTGTGCAATATGAAGAATGCCTCAAGACAAACTCCCCTGATCTATGTCATGTTTTATTGATTGCTGTGAGAGAAGAAACAGGAATTATTTTCAGTGTCAATTTTGAATGAAGTTCTGACCAGATATTTGAACAAAACCAAGAATTAATACTAGAAAATAGTTAGAAATGGTCTCAAAAGGTGAGTAGCAGAATCTTCGACACTAAATACATTTACATTTTATATCACTGGAAAATTTAGTTTGGAGGATAACCCTGTGCTGATAAGAGGATATATTAGATAACCTATATTCCCTATCCCAGTTCTTATTTTATGTGGTTCTTTGAGTCTTGCAAGAAACTGAAGGAAAAAGAAAAGTATAGAAATTAAATATTTAAAAGGCATATAGACTGTAAAAATAATATAGGGAAACTCACTGAATGAGATGTTAGACTCTCTTCTCTGAACAATAGTTGCCTAAGGTGAACCCAGGCTGGTGATTAACATTAGCTGAGATTAAGCAAATGGATTATGATGTTTTTCTTGCTGACCACACTTGGAATAAGACTAAAGATGTTCATTTCATACAGGATAGGCAATAACACACACTATTTATAAAACTCTGAAAAAAAGGTAACAACTCTTTTATTTGCATAGGATGTGACTGTCGGTAAGTAAAATAAAATTATATGTAATACTTAACAGCCACAAGGCACTATATATATTCTTAAAGTTTAAACTGTTCTATTTAGTATCTTTGTAAAATTGAGCAGCTTTGTAAATAAACTTTGAATGAGTAATGTTGTAAAAAAGCAGGCAAGGGTATTAAATTATTAATTTTGTTTTATTTTCTTGCAAAATCAAATTCTCAACATTGTAACTTCAAGAATATGACATTTTGGATTACGTAAAATCAGTTAGCTGTCTCAATAATTTTAGAAGAAAAATCCATAATGTGTTTAAATTGAAGTGAAGCTATTACAATGCAATGACCTGTAGCATGAGAAAGCAGTTTCTACAATATGATGTTTACTCTTTTGTTGAAATGTTTGATATTTGTAAGGTGCAATTACATGATATTTGAAGGATGAGTAAGCAATTACTACCATTACCTTTTAATGTTAATACTAAAAATATTTATTCATAACGTGCTCTGCAATGATTTATTCCCTGCAAAAAGCATATGATTGAATTAACCTTATATTTTGCTATTGTAGAGAGCAAATTTTCTCTACTGTTACTTTTGTGCATTCATATTATTTCATATTTATAAAAAAGTGATTCTTTCTTTTTGATAGTATTTTCTCTTTGTTTGTCTTCATTTCTGTTACTTTTACAGTGTCCAGATTGACAAATATTTTCTCCATATAAAATGTATTGCATTTCTCTTTAAAATTTTGATGTCTATAGCTGACTGTTTTACAGAAGCACAAATATACAAAACAACTTACAAGAGCATAATTTAAAAACTGTTATTATCAGTAAACTCTTGAGAAAAACTATGGTTTGGGCTCTTGTAACAATAAATAATTGAACTGAAGTGAATTGAAGATTCACTTGAACTGAATATTAAATCCCACTCTATTATATGGGTGARTACATGGGGAAATATATGGGCTCTATAATGGGTAAAAAGTTATCATACAGAGCAACTGAGGAACTAAATCCATTCATGTCCATTCATGTCCATCTCTGGCCGTTGAAAACATGGTCTTAACTGTTTCCACCCCTTTCCAAGAGATGCTGGACTAAAGATTCCCCCCACAAAAACCAAGAGATGCTGTGTTGACTAAACTGAAATCTCAGCCAGCTAAAGGGAGACATGGGATTATTCAGTTCACTCAAGTAATTTTGCGTTCTTATTTCTGCTGTCATTGGCGCTGAACTTATGTTCAACTGTAAACAAGGAAATTTTACRTTGCAGCTAGCAATATAAATGCCCTTAGATTTCCTCTAGGAAAATCACTATGTACAGAACGAAGCMTGAGATGTGAAGTGACTAATCCAGATTGTGTCCTTAACTAACCTAGCAGCCTCAATTTAGAGGTGCAATCAAAACATAGGCAGCTAATGAATAGGTGTGTCAAAAATGATAAGCACCTATATTTCTCATAGACTTCAGTAGAAGTGGTCTTCGTGACACCTAAAAAAGAGTCATTTCACCAGGCATCTTGGACTGGACTGCTTAACTCACTACAGCTAACGTTGATTATTTTTTCCTGTGTACTCCTTAATTGGATTTCATGCTTTTTTTTATTTTCGTCATTTTAATTGAAAGCTGATTACCTAAAATCAGTCTCTGTACACAGGTGCTGATCTGTTAGGCTGTTTTCGGTTTTACCACTCACAGAGCATAATTTGCAGTATAGAAAATACAATACAGGATTTTTCTTCCTCTCCTGTAATCATTGTTCAAAATAAAATACCTTGCCATTATCGTAGTGTCATGAATATATAAAAAAAAAAGATATTAAGTCACAGTGAAAGCAAAACAACCAAGCTGAAATCATTTGGTTTTTTTGGGGGGGAAGGCTGTAAGAATAAAAGGAAAAAATCTTGTCAAATCAGACTCTATTTGACCCTTGACTGTCTTGAAAAATGGCAACATTTTCTTATCAGTTTCAAAACCGATATATATAGTGGCAAAATAACTCAAAAGATTGTTTTCTACAGCTTCATTAAGAAAAATGTGTAGTAACAGGAAGAGATAGTGTGTTCCATTAAGCAGTATCACCAGTATCTCAAGGTGACATTGTCAAAGAATTGAATTTATACTATTTTGATGACAACATATTTCCCAGGACTGCTCTGCAGCTTTTTAGAACAACTTTTTCTAAACCTTCTTCTTCCAGGCTGATTAGCTGGCTGGCCATTTCTAGCTGGYGTTCTAGTCAAAGCAAGCCAATTATTAAGATAATTTTATTCAGTAAAGGGACAGCATTAAAGTACCTGCTACCTGATCTACCTGATGTAGATCAGATTCAGAGTATATTGAGAGTGCCCCATTTTCAAGGATGAAGATTATCCATATAGTCGCCAGAAATAACCTAGTGCTTAATGACCACTGTTTACATGTTTCAGTTATAGAGAACTACAACTTATATCTGTAGGTTTTCACTTAGTATAATGCCAATAACAAAACGGTTGATTTATATGTCATGAAATGTCATGAAAACTTATAGGAGAAAAGCAAATAATATGTCAATTTATGATGCAGATTACTAAGTGTAGTCACTAAAACATAATTTTAAAACATGTTTGGAACCTCATTTTGATAAAATGTGCAGTGTAATAAATAAGTCTTTTTTTTCTGAAACCAATGGATATTCCCTGGTATAAAATTAATATTTAAGATCAGAGTAAAGGGGTTTGTGTTTCATTTTATTTGTTCTGGACTGAAAAGAGCCTATGACCCAGCATAAATTGCTCTTTCTCTATAAAAATTCTCTAATATTAAGTATGAAGAGCTGCAATGGGTCAAGAAGCAACGGCCACAAACCGAAACACATGATTTTTTATCTGAATTTGAGGAAATTTTCTTGATTGTGAGGATGACAGAGCACTGGCACAGGTTGCTCAATGAGGCTTTGGAGTCTCCTTCTCTGGAGATATTCAAAATCTGCCTGTATATGACCCTGTGCAATGTACTCTAGGTGACCTTGTTTGTGCAGGATATTGGACTAGATGATCTCCAAAGGTCCCTTCCAACCTCAGCCATTTTGTGATTCTGTGATTCTGTGACTATTTGCAAGTAGAGCTATGTTAACTTAATCCGACAGYGTTGAGTTTTTGTGGAATTTAGAGATAACAGCTTGGATCCATTTGAATCCAAAATTATTTTTGACACAATTTGCTGCTGTTGGTTTCTTATAAATTCTTTTTGTGTACATTTCAAGCTGAAGTCTGTTTTATGACTAACCATAAGGGAACTTTTGAATCCATCTCCTTTTTCTTCCAGATTTCTGTCAAAATGAGTGAAACGCCTTCAACCAGTTACTCAGTGAATCAGCCAAACTCCTCTGAGAGTGAACAGACTCTGTCTACACGCCATTTCAATGTCACTGAACCAGTTGTGGCCAAACGAATCTGTTTCTACAAAAGTGGAGATCCTCAGTTTAATGGAATTAAAATGGTTGTTAATAATCGGTCTTATAAATCATTTGATGCCTTGCTTGACAGTTTATCCAAACGGGTCCCATTACCTTTTGGGGTGAGAAATATTAGCACACCAAAAGGGAGACACATCATCACCAACTTGGAGGATCTTGAAGATGGAAAATCATATATTTGTTCCCATCAGAGGAAAATGAAACCCATCAACCTTGAACGGGCTAGGAAAAAGCCACTGCCTTGGCAGATCAGCAGGCCTGTCAGTGCTCGTCGTCGAGCCGTGCAGTTAGCAAAGGAGAATGAACATGGATTTGGCCACAGAGAAAGAAAAGTAACAACTCCTAAAAAGCTGCTTGTTTTCAAAAACGGTGATGTAAGACTCAAGCGCACCATAGTTCTGGGGAAGAAAAATACACAAACCTTTGAGGCCTTTCTGGATTATATAAGTGAATTAATGCAATATCCAGTTGCGAAACTGTACACTACCGATGGAAGAAAGGTGAGAATAAAGATGAGCATTGACAATTTTATCATATTTTATTCTAGGCTATTTTAATAATAAAAAAGGTGATTCACTCCATTAGAAGACTGGAAGGGTGGCCTGGGTGTGAGGTCTGCTGTACTCAGTGTCAGCTGTTGCCTTTCTATGCTTGTCCCACTCCAGAAAGGCTACTAGTTTCGTACATTAATTTTGGAACCAGAGGGAGGCCAGAGAAGACACTGAATTTCAATTTCAAGTAATCATAAAATGCCATTTTTGTTTTTCTTGCTCAGGCCTGTTTCAGGCAAGCTCTGAATTATGTATTTTTGCCTGTTTATGCAGAAACCTCTCTTAAGCTAAAGGCATTACTAATACCTAATAACCAGTAGATATTTTATCATTATGCAAACACAAGGAGGGCTTTTTGCMGTTAATGAGCTGGAATTATGAGACTTTATTATACCTTACAATTCTAAATCGTGGATCAAATTCTGTATCTCTAAACCCMAAAGCCCCAACAGTAAGTCTGTTTTTCACCTTGTTCAATGTTTTGTGCAATTTTCTATAATTTTATCTTATTTAGTGTTTTCTGATTCTGTATGTTGTTTAATACCARAGAAGTATTTGTGATTTTACCTGGCAACAAGCACCTGTAAAGGGAATTCCATGCAGAATGTCTGCTCAAGGGAAATCTGCTGTGTTTACCCACTATGTAGTGAAACAGCGACTTCTGCATTAGGTTGGGAAGGTGTCTGTATTGCCTATGTCAGCACAACGCACTTTGCAAATCTTATCTTACAACATATCTTGCATAAATTCATACATAAATTCAAAATTGTCTTAGACAAGACAATAACCTAATAACTTGATTTAAAGCTAGAACTACTTTGAGCAGAGGSCTGGCCTGAAGGACATTCAACATAAGTTGTTCTCTGATTCTATCTTTATTCTTAAAATATGATTCTGCCTTACTCCGTTGCAGCAAATGTAAATATACCAGCCATGCWAGTGCAGTAGTGTATTCTGAGTTCCTTATTTATTGCTTTAGGTGCTCATTTGCATGTATACCTACCTCCAAACCTACATTCTTATTTCATGGCTATGTTATGGTCACCGCACAATGATGAAATAACATTTTGTATGCAAACACTTAATTATGAGCAAATTGTGATCTAGATACAAGTATTTTTTCTCAAAATCTTTTTCTAATGTATTTATATAACAAGATAGACTCTCACAAAGATAGGATTTGCCTTACAGGAGCTGAAAAATTAATTCTGCTCTGTGATACATATTTAATAGCCTGCTAGAAACTGCTGTAGAGACTAAGAAGTAAAGATATTAAAGCATGAAAGGGATAAATCTCTTACATTATTACTTGCAGTCATTAAGGTAGAGAATTTAATGTTACTTTTTTTTCCAGGTTCCTAATCTTCAGGCCCTGGTATTGTGCTCTGGAGCTGTAGTTGCAGCAGGGAGAGAGCCTTTTAAACCGAGCAATTATGATCCTCTTGGGTATTCACGGCCTGCTAAATTGCTTGGAATTGCAAATCGCGTGTACCCAAAAGCAAATGCCAAGTCGGAGAATGAAAGCAGTAAGTTATTTGAATTAATTTGTATTTTATTAATTGTTTTATCTCTCTCAGCATAAGACATAAACCACGGCAATCTTACTAGAATCAAGGATACTCAAAAAGGCCAGTTGAAACTGTTTATTTTTGCTCAGACTTCTCTATCAGCATATGAAAGACCAAACTGTCAATTTTCTTTTTAAAGTTTAAGCTAAGCACTCAAATGGTATGCGTATTTTCTTTTAAACTGACTTATTTAGAATACAGGTRCAAATCTTTATAGATATTTTAGTAATTATTATTCTTTTTCCTGCATAGGTGTTAGAAACAGCAGTGGCAAAAGACAAACCACAGCTTACTTTGGAGAGTATAGTAGCTCCTAACTGGCTGAATTTCAAATCTTTTGTACAGAGTTCAAATCTTGCTTTAAAAGTTTGACTTGTTCTCATGAGTTTCTTTTTTTTTTCTTGTAATTGCTCCATATAAAYGGAAAAACTATTACAACATTCATCTACTCACAAAGTCACTATGTTTTTGAATTTGCTCTTGTCTAAATAGAATATAATTTATTATTGTATCCTCATGCCTATGATGTATCCTCTTCAGATATGTTTAGGAAAAGTTGAAAATATGAATTCTTCCTTTGACTACTCATGTAGCTACATCTATGACTGACAAGGGYCAGTGAGAATGGAAATTGCTCAGGGGAAGATTCCGAGTAGGAATAGTTGTTGGAGACAAAGCAAGACTGAGGTTGAGGAGAGCAAAATGCTGCAACAGCAGAGCTAGAGCTTTAGGTAATGTAGGATCTCCTGAAATTAGGGCAACCTGTATGTCCAAGGGGAAACTTGCTTTATACAAAGGTACTATGTGCTCTTGAAATGACTGCACGCTGTTCTGAAGAGTCCAGGCAACACTTAATTATTTTTGTACTGGGACCTTCTGTGAGAACCATTTCTGTGTCATGGAGCACTCTGCAATGCAAGACAAAAGCTTCCATCTACTTGAAGGAATTTCTTCCACATCTCTCTCAGTTTATTTYGCCCCCATCAAACTATTCGTTTTAGCTTTTGTCATCCTTCATGTTCTTTGCCTTATACAGCTTGCTTTGCTGTTGTTTGCAGAATATAACTGTTGCTTGAAGAGAGAATAAATAGGAACACTTTGAGGAAAATTCTACAGAAATAGAAATCCCATCCAAATTTTGCATTAAGTCAGAGATTCGGGCTTAAAATAATAAAAATGTAAATAGCTAAGATTCTGATAAGTACTTTCATCTAACTCTTAGTGAACAACAATCACTGTAAGACGGGGGAAAAACACAAAAAAACAAAACCTATTATTTTGACAATTGGAGAAATTCATAATATCCTGCATAAGAGACAGTATAGATGATGTGAAAGCTTGAATTATCAAATTTCAGGGCCTTTGTTCCAATTACATTTCTTGAAGATGGAGAAAGTGAGTTATTTATTTTGGAAAAGGCAATGTAAYGTTTTCAAGCTTTAAAGCTTTACTGCCAAATGAGCAAGGATACCTATGCACCTCTTGACAGGTTCAAGGCAACCTCAGCTCCTAACTAAGTGTCAAATGAGAGTATTAAACACTTTTTTGGTCTTTGGAGCATTAGATGAGGCTATAGTTCTGGATTAGAAAGGATCTATTGCAAAATAAAATGAAATGTAACTGTAGTTCAATAATGATCCTTAATAAAAATATAGTTATATATCACTCAAATAACTTCTTCAAATTAACAGAAAAAAATAGATATACTGTTCTTTTTATTCTAATACTCTGAAAAAAAGAGCTCTTTACTGGATTCTTTTATACTAATTTTTTTTCTTTCTTCTTTTCTCTTCCTTTGCTGCCTGTCTCCTGTGTCACCATGTGGATCCTTATGTGTGATATTTGTCTAAACTGCTTTTCCTCTGCTGAATAAATTTGTGCCTTTTCAATGTTGTTATTGGTAGTGAGAGCTGAAATGGCCTCTAGCTCAAGATCTCAGATATTCTCAATTTCTTCTGATAAAGGATCCAGCAATGATAACAACACAAATGATAACAACTCAGATTCTTCCTATGCTCTTGAGAATTATAAAAGTATAGTAGGAAATCAGTCACTTACTGATGAAGACTTATCTGTGGCACCGTGTGAAGATGATATTGAGAAATCTGTYCACCTTAATCAAGATGGCAGCATGACAGTAGAAATGAAAGTTCGATTCAAAATTAAAGAGGAAGAAACCATAAAATGGACAACGACTGTCAGCCGTGCTGGCCTTTCTGATGGAAAAAATATTAATATTGACAATTCTGCAACAGGTGCAGAAGAATGTTTATCTGATGTAAATATGTCAGCATGTATAAAACCAAAAGAGGTTCCATTTTTGGAGAGCTCCAGTAATGAAGTGGGAGTCTCACTGCAGCAGTTCAGTGCAGGAGTGTCAGATAAAGAATCACAGTCTGATTTAAAAGCTGCTGATTATAGTATCTGTCAGACAAACACTTCTGCAGACCTAGATGTAAGCAAYGTATCTGAGAATAAAACAAGATCTCGTTTTTATAGGCCTCCCACCCCTGGGCCAAGGCGTGTTAGACAAAAGAAAGCAGTAGTTGAAAGTGTCACCTTGGTATCTGAAAAGGAGGTTCAGGAGAAGACAGTTGGAAAGTTTTCCTACAGTGAGGAAATACAGGGTGGTGAAAGCAAATCTGAGTATCATATGGTTACTCATTCAAGCAGCAAAAAATCAAGTATAGGTGRCCCAAATTTTAATGAAATGAATGACAATGATTTGTTAAAGCTTTCTTCAGAGAGCAGGAAGAAAGAAGAAATGCTTTTTAAAGTAAGCCACAAAAGTCATGATTTGATAGAAACCTCAAATATGAAGAAATTAGATGTGTCTGATGAGGATGAATTGTTACATAAAATATTAGATAAATCAGTTTTAGAACAAAGTACATATAATAGCTTAGTATCAACCTGCAAAGCTAACATCAGAGGTTTTACACCATCATCAAAAATTTACCAGGGAACTAGGCCAGTTTCTGCAGACAATACTCAGGAGCTGTGTGATCTTAAACAAATAAAAAGATCACTGAGTTCTTTCATTAGCTACTCAGAATTAATTCAGTCAAAAAATGAAGAAAGAAAATGTAAAACTTCTGATTTATTATATTTTTCTCAAGATTCAGTGCGTTCACCCTCTTCTAGACATAGTCTGACAAATATGATACCTGTATATAGTAAAGCTACCATTGAAAAAACAGATCCAAGAACTGGATTCTTTCCTAGTGTTACTGAAAGTCAGAATCAAATTAGCGTTAGGACTGAATCTGTTATGACAACATATCCCACTGATGAAAACCAGCCTGCATCTTCCCTCATGAAAAAGAAGAGAAAATGTTTGTCTAACTTTCCAGAACAAGATACACATGAAAATGAAAAAGATAAAGAAGTCCTAGGGATAATTAAAAGTCAGGGAATGCATATTACAAGTGAAACTACACAGAATTCCACAATACAGGCTACAGATAATTATTCTGAAATGCCTCAGAAAAAAGGAATGGAATACTTTGTCAAAACTGGTGACGGATCTGTTAATTCAGACAAAAATGTAACTCCTGAAGATGAGTTTTATCACCAGTCTTCAGTAGCAAACCAAGAAAATGGATTATCTAATAGGAAAATACGAGCTAACAGGCAGCTGACCAAAATAAAATCCAAGCTGGGCAAAAAAACCAGTTTGGCTTTGTCTGCAAAGCAAGAAGATAGCCTAATGAGAGTTGATTCAAAAAATGAAGCTGAACAGGCTCAAGATAACCTGAGTATTAAGAAAGAAGGCACAGATCTCACAACTAATTCTTTTGAACAGATATCTAACTCAACAACAATATCCAAGCAATTGTCGGAAGAATCAAAGGATCATAATTTAGAAAAAGAAAGGGATAATAATAATATTTTGGAAAATTTGTCATCAAAAAAAGAGAAAAAGCAAAAGAGAATTAAGAAGAATCTAAGTAAAACATCGAGTAAGTTAAGTGTGTCAGAGAGAGCCCTTACACTAGAGCCTCTGAAATGGCAGGATGTTCAAGATGAGGTTGCTGAGCATTCACTTGAAAACTATGTTCAAACTTGGCTGAAAAACTTGTTACCAAATTCRGTCTTACCCCCTATAAACAAAAAAGAAGGAAATGTAGATAATAGTAAAATTTGTCTTTTTTCTGAAGAAAACATTGATACTTTCATCAACAAAGAAACTAGATATATCACAGATAAAGTTCATGTGACGAGAAAAAATACACTGGTTGAACACAATCTAACCAAAAAAACATTAAAGCCTCTTTGTGAATTAGAAGGTATTGAAGAGTCATCAAAACATTCATGTGGAAGACAAATTGACTCTTTGACTAATGCTAATACATCTGCAATAGAAGAAGCTAAGTATTTATTACAGTCAGATTTCCATCATGGCACTAAACTACAAATGTTTCATGAAACACATGACGAGGACAGTAAGAAGTCAGAAGCTGATATTCAWGATACTAATCTCTGTGAAAGAAAAAGTTCTGAGGTTGCAGTTCAAGTTGAYTCCCCAGTTGTCAATGAGAAAATGGGAACAGATGTTCAGACTAACTGCATGTCCAGCGTGTTGCTGGGTGAATTTCAGTCTGTTTTGCTCAATCTCCAAAAAGAACATAGTGGTTGTATAGGAAAAACATGCAGCTTTTCAGATCTTTCACCTTCAGCTTTTGGTTCTTCCTCCAATCTCCTCCTAGCTTGGCTACTTGTACTGAATCTGAGAGAGAGTTTGACCAGCACAACAAAAGATGATATCCAAAAAACTATCTGTAGCTGTTCAGAAATATTTACACAGTTGCCGTTTCTGAAACAAGCCACAATTGTAGAAAAAATTGATGAACTGAAGACTGCTATCTCACATTTTGAACAGTCAACAGAAAATAACTTCCTACAGTCTAAGAGGGAACTCAAAAAACAGGATTCTACATATTGCCATGAAAATGTGCCCATATCTGAAAAYTGTAATAGTATATATTTGCAAGAAAATGAAAACTCAGTTGAATCCTGCTTTCCAAAGGACACTATAAACTATGAAGAAGCTCAGGAAAATGCTGGTGAATTAGAAAGCTCTTCTGATATACAAAAAGAACTTTATACAGCAATGACGACTTTGGAATTAAATGATTTCAGTGCTTCTGAAGCACTGCTAATTGGGAAACCTACCAATACTAATTCAGATAATTGTAGCCTTATTTCATCTGTAAAGCCACCTGAAAGAAATGAAGAAATGGTTGATAGCTCACCACAACMTTCTCAAGATACTGGTGCGTTGCTTAACAATGAACAGTCAGGAACTTCAGTAGAGCCTAACTCAACTGTTCCTAAGGTAACTTCCAACGACAAAAAATGTAATTTAGGTCAGGTTACTTCTGAGGTAGTAGGAGGAAAAGATATCACACATGTTACTAACTATAAAAGCAAAAATGAGAAATCAACAAGTAATGATGAAAAACCAAATAACCAACTTAAACAAGATTCTGACCTCTCTACAGAATATGATTATGAGGATGATTCTGTTCAGGAAGGAAGGAAATACACAGAAACACATGAAGAAACGTCTGAGAGGTTTTCTACACCTTCTCCATTATCTTTTTGTTATGAATCTAAGCAAATTACAGAATGTGATATGAGTGAAGGAGAACAAAAATTACAAGTGGACAAACCGGAGAATAAAACATGTTCAGATATTTCTCGACTAGAAAAACGCTTAAAAAGTCCTGCTACATCAGACTGGTCAGATTACAGACCTGACAGTGAAGAAAGTGATTGTAACTTTAGAGCATCCAGTGATTTGACCAATGAAAGTGGGGAGGAAGCAGTACTTGAAAAACATTATAATACTGGCTATGTAAAAAGGACCATTGAACGACTTTATGGTAAGGCAGAAGCTTCGTTTAAGCCTAACTTTCACACAGGAGTTCCTTACATGTCCAAATTACTTCAAAAGGATACTGAGGAATTTCACTCTACAGTGGTGCAAAAAAAAGTTTCTTTTTTTGAAGAACCTAAGTCATATTCTGCAGAGGAGTTGTCACTTCCACTTCCATCCCAAGAATTTCCAGAAAACATAAACAAAGATGACATTATGTGGAGAAGAGAAAATATGTCTTTACCAGGACCACAATCTGCTCTTAATGGAGAAGAGACAACTTATACTAATGGCTGTTCAGGGGAACCTCCAATGCAATGTCGTCAACCTAGTATACATCCTAATGAAGATGAGGGAATATTGATTGATAAAGGCAAATGGCTTCTTAAAGAAAATCATCTGATCAGACAATCGCCACCTGAAAGGATTGGAATGTATGGTAATTTGGATTCAACTTCAACAGACACCATGCTTGATACTAACAGCGAAGATGCTCCATACTCACATTTTGGTAATCTGACTCAATATCCAGTTCTCAAAGAAATTTCTTCTTCAGAACTCGAAGATATGGTTAAACCTTCTGAAAATGTTTGTAACTACTTCAATATGCCTCATAACAGTGATTCAGACCCTTTTCTGGATGACCTGGGTACAAAAAACAAGCCTAGCCCCAACTGTAAAATCACCTGTCTTCCTGTAGGAAACAAAGAAAAGGTCAACCCATCAGTAACGGAATGTTCTACTTCTAAATATGTTTCCACAGGAGCTAATACCAATTTTACACCCTTAACATCTGTAGAGTTTAGATTGCCTGATAACAAGGTGCATCCATTAACACAGCCTTTAAATGATGAACCCATACAGTCTCAGCCAAATGATATCAATAATGCTAACAGAAGTGCTCTTCAGGAAGAAGATTCTTTAGATAAACTCCATGCTATATGTGGCCAACATTGTCCAATATTGATGGCAATAGTAACTCCAGTTAATGAGGAACAGAGAGGATACGCCTACCAAAAAGCATCTGACCTTGAGAACCAGCTAGGTCTCTATTCATTGGCCAAGAAGAGTCATCATTTACCATGGCCAGGCAAAGGTTTAATAAAAGATGAAAATAATCATGTGACTATGAAGAATAACTGTATCAGTAGGATTGCCAATAATATTTTTAATAGGTTTTATGCTAATAACACGTTAGATTTTGTTAGTAACCTTGAGCTTCCAAAAACTTCAACCCTGAAAGACAGAAGCAATCTAGGGAAGTTATGTGTTATAGATGATATGAATGTAAACCCTGTGAAGATCCACAATTGTCATAATAGTGTATCCAAAAATAAAGTTAGTGATGTAGCGGTAAGCACAAATAGTGAGTTATCAGATAGAAACTCCAAAACATGCCAAAGCTCAAGAATAATTCTAATTCCTATTGTTGAAGAAAAATTGTCTCCTTTATTGACAGATCCATCAGAAATCTGTCATTCTGAAATATTCTTGAACTGTGAAACCCCTTTAAGTAGCATCAAACATAATGCCTCTGAAATTACAAAAAAGGAAAATGCCTTTCCTACAGGAGAAGATGAAGAAGGAATTTCTTTCTGTGCCATGGAAAATGGAAACAGGAAAGAAAAGAAAGATACATAATAAAAATCTTGAAATTTTTACATTGATGAGAACATTTTCAGAAAATAATTAAYCATGATGTAAACTTGTGAATCCCAAGCAGAACTCCCAATGTGAAGACAGCTTAAGCCTGGATAAATACTAATCACAGTTTTATATGACTGTGAAAAATCAGATGATTACTCAGAACTTTTGTAGGAACCAATGCAGGACAAAATCTCTTCTCCTAACATGGTGATTTTCTGCTTGAAAAAAAAAACCAACTCAGAAATATTATCTGTTAGATATACTCAGTATTACTTCAACCATCTTTTTCATAGAGAAACAATTACTGCTTATTTGAACAAAGGATTTAAAGTTGAAATACTTATCTAAATTCCTGTATTTTGTGATATTTGAAAACAAACTTGAGAAATATCTTTCAATATAAYTGTTTTGTTCAGAAATAATCAACTGAGACAATTAATTTGAAATGAAAAGTAGGAAATACTATTCAGGTCCTGTACTATAATGAAAAGCATCAAATAGTTCTGTTAATTTTATACAGATCAACAGAATCAACCACCTATTTCAGTTTTTAAAGAACAAATTCAGAATAGTTAGATGAGTAAAGTGATGGGCTACATATAGGTCATCCATAGCCCAAARGAAATTGACTCTTTTATCCAGAAGATACCACAAATGGAGCATATTTATTATCCCTGGTATTAAACAATAACTGAGGAGGAAGACTGAGTGTCAGTGGACTTCCTGACTGCTCTTGCCATATTCCCTTTGGAAGCAGCACGGCTTATCCTTAAAAACCCTTATATGTATACCATATGTTTTAATTCAGTGTTTTTTTCAATCTCTGTTGTGGTTTGTATAAAGATCATCCATATTATATTCTTTTTTTTTTCTTTTTTTTTTTTTTTTTGTAAATATGTTGGATTAAGACAGTCTTTTTATGTTTCAGGATCTTTTGGTCTACTGTTAGAATTATTTTGGATATCTGTCTATATCTTTTCATATCCTCTGTGTCTGGTGAATATAGTACACTGGTTGCAATTTTAAGTAAATTATTTAAAATACAAAAATAGAAAATATTTAATGCATATTGTGGTTAGCCCGAGTATTTTGTTTTCATGGCTATATTTTAATCTCTAATATCAAACACTACCTTACTTTACTGTCAGTCAGAAATGCCTCTGAAGAAGTAAGGTGCTGTTCAGTTAGAGTGTGAGAATTTGGCCAGTCTGTTTTCTCAGAGGCCATGTCTGGAGTAAAGAGCATGTCCGTGCTGTAAGCAACTTTAGATCATGGTACTTTGGTAAGGCAGACTGGGGGCTTAATCAAAGCCTGCCACAACTCTCCTGTGGCCTATGTGTCTTRATTGCCTCCATGAAGAAACCTAGGCATACCAAAGGAAGCAGAAGTGGGACCTGGAGCAAAATGGCTTTGCAGTACTTCTAGGAAACCTGGAATTCTTCAATTCTCCTTAAGAGTTCACAACRGCAGCTATATGTCCTCATAACTGATAAGTTTCTGTTGTTTGAAGCAGTGTTATATTCTATGTAATAAACAATCATTACAACCCTGAAACAACATTGTGAAATTGTGCTAATATATTATGAACCAACCATGCCATTATCAGATTATACTGGCCTTGTTTCTGACCTTCCTTGACCAATTTCCACATCCTTTAGCGTCCTTCAATGGTATTTTATGACTGTTTCAAATAAATAGACTCAAAGGCATTTTTTTTTCATCTGCTTTCATGGCAGTTCAGAAATAAAACATAGATTTGAAAATGAAAGTTGAAATTAGCAGCAGAATTCAACTAAATGCCATATAACATTCTGTGTGCTAGGCTTCTAGACCCTAATTAAAGAATAATGGGGCCGAGTCCAGTTGGAGGCCTGTGGCCAGTGGTGTCCCCTAGGGGTCAGTACTGGGCCCGGTGCTGTTCAACTTGTTCATCAATGACCTGGACGARGGCACTGAGTGCACTCTGAGCAAGTTTTCAGATGATACCAAGCTGGATGGAGTGGTCGACACTCCAGAGGGCTGTGCTGCCATCCAGAGGGACCCRGACAGGCTGTAGAGTTGGSCAGAGAGGAACCTCATGAGGTTCAATAAGGATAAGTGCAGGGAGGAATAACCTGGGGAGGAATAACCCCAGGCACCAGTACACCTTGAGGGCTGACCTGCTGGAGAGYGGCTCTGAGGAGAGGAACCTAGGAGTCCTGGTTGACACCAAGTTASCCATGAGGCAGCAGTGTGCCCTCGTGGCCAAGATGGCCAATGGAATCCTGGTTGTATCAGGAGGAGAGTTGCAAGCAGGTTCAGGGAGGGTATCCTGTCCCTCTCCACAGCTCTGRTGAGGCCRCACCTGGAGTACTGGGTGCAGTTCTGGGCTCCCCARTATAAGAGGGACATGGAGCTTCTAGAGAGGGTCCAGTGGAGGGCAACAAAGATSATTAAGGGACTGGAACATCTCTCGTATGAGGAGAAACTGAGCGAGTTGGGCCTGTTTTCTCTAGAGAAGAGAAGGTTGAGAGGGGATCTGATTAATATGTATAAATACATGAAGAGACAGGGCAGAACAAGGGGAAATGGGYATAAGTTGATACACAGGAAGTTCTATCTCCATATGAGGAAGAACTTCTTCACTGTGAGGGTGACAGAGTCCTGGAACCAGCTGCAAGATCTTCCAAACCTGCCTGAATGCCATCCTGTGGCACATGCATTAGGTGTCCCTGCTGGAGCAGAGGGGTTGGAACAGATGATCTCTAGAGGGCCCTTCCAATCATCTTAACCATTCTGTAATTCTGTGATTCTGTGAATAGATGTTAATATTATTAGGAAAACTGATAAGCAAACTAACAGCTAGATATAACTCAACAAGTTATACTATATATACTCCACTCTTCAAGGATTCATAGCACCCCATTGACTTTACTTTATTCAGCCCTTCAAAAGCCGTTAGTTGCAGGCTTAATGTAGGGATACTGAGCAAACTGATAAATTATTTGCTCATAGCATTAATTTTTATACTTTTAAAAATGTATTTAAAATAAAATTTGACTTTTATTTTGCTTTATATTATCTCTTTTCTATTACTCTGGATTTTATGATCCTCTTTTSATAATTCTTAGCAACTATATTAGAGAATTTTTCTACTTTCTGCAGTATATAGGTAAAATATGAAATCAAGATCAATCCTAACACTGATTCCTGAGGAACATAGTATTACTCCTATAAGATAATACCTCTCATTTCAAAAAAAAACTTATAATTTTCCATCTAGATATTTTGTCACTCTGCAGCTTTTACACTAACCACCTCCTCCATTTTAATTATTAATTTTTCAACTCAGACTCAAATAGTTTAGAACTGCTGTACTTTTGCTGCCTACAAAGATGAGTTATCTTAATGAAGGACATCAGGTACTTAAACAAGGCCAGTCAAGATATCTAGTGTACATTTTTGGCAAACTGACTCCGGATTTTTTCTTTCTATTTACCTGTATACAACTGAAGAAAAGTGTCTCTTCAAGCAAATATGTTCAAAAACATTGCATACTATTGTTCTGGTGTAAAATATATGGGCATTTATTTCTACTCATTTTTAATTTTCTATTTTAATTTTCCCATCCTGACATTTCCAAAACACTCATTAAACACTTGATTCCCAAACACCATTCTCATTAAAAAACTGAGGCCAAGTAACTTTACTTTATCGTGAGAGTATCATTAGTCTTCTCATACTCAGTGTGCATAGTCTTTCTATGCTTATTCTTCTTTACTGTATAYGTTTAAACAACATTTCACTATTTTGCTTTCATTTCCTTCACTATGTCTCACTTATCAGTTCAGTTAACTTTTATCAGCTAACATTTCAAAATTAGCTATTTTTAAATCCAAGGTTTAATATAAGATGCTTTCCCATGTCCTACTTTTTAACTTAACGGAATCATTCTATGATTGGTTATTTCAGGGATACTTTGTACATTTTCTCTTTTTGAAGTATCTTCACTATTTTACTACATTAAATCTAATCCTAAAATACAATTCTGTCTAGTGWTTAGATTTCAGGAAGAAATCTACTGGCTGTGACAAGTAAGAAACTGCTTTCTACCATTATTAGTGCGATTTTTTTCTCCTATCTCTGTAAGTTAAACCCTCAAATCATTATTTATCATTATGATAAAATTTTTCCTATTGACTTTCACCATCTTATTCCTTTCAGCTGTCTTATTCCAAAGTGAATTTGATCCAAACAGATTCTGTTTCATCCATGTTGTTCATTTGTATACTTTCTGATAAAATTTACTAGCTTTCCTGACTAGTTACCTACATAAGTTTTTATTTCTTAGCCAAACTACAGGTGTGATTGCTATTTAATAATTTTGCTGTAATAACTGAAAATGCAGCACCAGTAATTCTAGCTTATTTATTTTAGTGGCCGTTTCACTGCATTAATATACAAAATTTCATTTGTTATTTAGGAAAATCATCCAATTTTCTTAAATAAATTAGATTCAAAATTTTCATTAATTGCATGTCTTGATTACTGCCCTCATCAATTTTACAGATTCAGTTTCATCAATTTCATTTTCATGAGGAACTTTAGRAAAAATTTCTTGACAGYGAGAGTGACAGAGCAGGTTGCCAAGAGAGGTTGTGGAATCTCCTTCTCCGGAGATAGTMAAAACCTGTTTGGATGCAATCCTGTGTGACGTGTTCTTGCTGACCCTGTGTGTGCAAGTGAGTTGGACTAGATGATCTCCAAAGGTCCCTTCCAACCTTAATGATTCTATTGTTTTTTTTTTTGTTTTCTGCTTTCTGTGCATGAAAACTGTTTTTGGGACTGTATTAGTCCCAACAAATTTCTTTCTCATTTTTAAAAATTCTTTTTACCATTTATGCCAGCCATTATAATATATCTGCAGTATTTCTGAAAAGAAGAATCAATTTTTTTCATAAGGGCATTCCAAGATCTCTAACCTGTTTTCATATCATTAGTGTATATGCCATCAGAAGATCTTCATTTTTGCCTTGACTTTTTATTTTAAGACCTAAAGAATTTTACTTACCTTTCTTTGAATATTCTCCCCACACTCTCAGAGGAACCCTTGATTTACTTAAGCAACAATTTTAGTAGTAGTATTTATTTTAATATAAAGAGCAGGTGGTGAATGTACCTCTCCTTTCAAGATCCTCAAATATTGTAAATTTGCTTCCAGCAAGCAGTACATTCCTCCTCCTTTNTCTTTTCTTTTCTTTTCTTTTCTTTTCTTTTCTTTTCTTTTCTTTTCTTTTCTTTTCTTTTCTTTTCTTTTCTTTTCTTTTCTTTTCTTTTCTTTCCTGGTAACAATCTATTTTTGTGGCATTTTGTATCTTTTTGGACTCCAGTCGGTGAGCCATCCTTTCGTCATCTTTACTTAGAAGGACAGTTATTATTTATTCTCTATTCATTCAGTTTAACAAGTTCAGACTACGACAGTTCTTAGAAATATGAAGCTTAAGCTCTTAATAAAAATGTCTGTTTGGCAGTTTATTATGTTGTTTAACAATGAAAATGACTTAGAARGTCTTGGCAGTACATCTAGTATGCACATTCACAGTATATTCCAGGAAAATGCTGACATTCAAGAGTATTTCTTTAAAACTGAGTAGTATATTATACTCAAAATTTCTGCTAATAATGAAATATTTTAATAATGATGGCTGCTCTTAAGCCATGTAACTTCTCCCACATTGTGCTTGTGTAATTAAAATTCTAACACTTTCAACTCAGACTCTCTTTAGGTTATGGATGTCCAGAATAGGACTGTGGTACAAATAAGATTAAAAAAAAAAAAAAAAAAAAAAAAAAAGGTGGAGAAAATGATTAGTGAAGTTCTATTTGAAAAGAGAGAAAAGTAGGAAAGAAAACAGATTACTTATGTACGCTGACAAGTGACAGACTTGTCTGTATATTGACTGAGCTGCTACAAGTTTTACTTCAGCAGTATTATTACAGTACAATGAAGAAGCTACAGCCAACTATAATATTATTGGAACCTTTGTTTTTGCAAACACTGAATGGCATATTTGGTATATTCACCATTTATCCAGTGCTCAATCTACTTCCTTAATCATAGYATCTTGGAATTTAGGCAACTATTTTTATTGATTGCTTGAGATGCTGAGATTAGATCTATGTATAATAGACTCCCAGCTGATAACACACTCTACAAATCTGTTTTGATTTCCAGTGATGTTGCTCTCRTTTGCAGATAACAGAGATTGCATAAGAACTGAGGCAGAGATGAAATCAAAAAATCTAGTAATGTCATCACCATTTTATATAGTYTTTTATAAGTGTTTATTACAGGGTKTTTTAGAAGCTGTCTTTATGCAGCTGACATTAGTGCATGTGTACACGTCAGCAACAGATCAGATACAGAAAAGATCCATATCACTCAAATTTTCGGTCTAAGAAATCTTCATTTCAGATTCATTTACATTTCAAGGTCTTGAGTTCGGTCCTCAAAGATGAGCCAAGCCTCATGTTAATACCTCCCTGCCTCTTCCCTCAAAATCTAGGAGATAATATCTATTCTAATAACTACTGATTCTGCACCACTGCAGTTCCCAAGACAGGTATTTTTTACAAACATAATATAGTGGTCACACAAAAGTGAAAATTTCCTGAATAAATATAACAACAGCTCAACTGCAAATAGGACTCCTGGATTCTGCTATGAAGTTTCACTAAAGGTTTATGGTCGTATAACATCAAAATAACAAATGCATTTACTAAGCCTTTTTTTTTTTGCTATTTATTAAAAGCAATATTAATAGTTAATAAGTGGTGTGAAGTACTTACATTTTCAGTTTGTTAAATTCATAGATGTAAAAATATTGACCCAGTCTAGGTCAGCCTAACTTTTCAGTTTCTTAAACGTCTTTTCCTTTTGGTGAAGCTAAAGATAGGCAAATAAAAATCATAGAATCATAGAATGGTTAAGGTTGGAAGGGACCTCAGAGGTCATCTAGACCAACCCCCTGCACACACAGGGTCACCTAGAGCACGTGGCACAGGGCTGCATCCAGGCAGATTTTAAAGATMTCCAAAGARGGAGACTCCACAACCTCTCTGGGCTGCCTGTTCCAGGGCTCTGTCACCCTCACTGGCAAGAAATGTTTCCTTAAGTTCCTGTGGAACTTTCTTTTGGTGCTTCAGTCTGTGGCCCTTTCCTCTAGTCCTATCGCTGGCCACCACTGAAAAGAGACCAACCCCCTCCTCCTCACTGCCTCCCTTGAGGTATTTATAGACACTGATCAGATCCCCCCTCAGCCTTCTCTTCTCCAGGCTGAACCGGCCCAGCTCTCTCAGCCTTTCCTCATCAGGTAGATTCTAGGCCTTATGTTCCAGGCCCTTTATAGCCCTGTGCAGGACTCTCTCCAGCAGCTGCACATCCCTCTTGTACTGGGGAGCCCAGAACTGGACGCAGTACTCCAGATGTGGCCTTACCAGGGCTGTGTAGAGGGGGACAATCACCTCTCTCGACCTGCTGGAGACGCTCGTCTTAATGCACCCCAGGATCCYGTTGGCCTTCTTGTCCACCAGGGCACACTGCTGCCTCATGGTCATCTTGTCATCCACCATGAYGCCCAGGTCCCTCTCTGCGGGGCTGCTGTCCAGAAGGTCAGTCTCCAGCCTGTACTGGTGTCCAGGGTTATTCCTCCCCAAGTGCAGGACCCTGCACTTGCCCTTGTTGAGCTTCATGAGGTTTCTAACCGCCCAGTCGTCCAGTCTGTCCAGGTCCCTCTGGATGGCAGCACAGACCTCAGGGCTATCAGCTCCTCCTCCTCCCAGTTTGGTATCATCAGCAAACTCGCTGAGGGAGCCCTCCATCCCTTCATCCAGGTCATTAATAAGGTGAACAGGACCAGACCGAGAACTGACCCCTGAGGGACACCACTAACCACAGGCCTCCAACCAGACTCTGCACCGCTGATCACCACCCTCTGAGCCCTGCCATTGAGCCAATTCCTAATCCACCTCACTGTTCACTCATCTATCCCCCACTTCTGAAACTTGCTCAGAAGGATGTAAATACTAAACCTACCTCATTTCTTCCAGAATGTCACTGACAACTAAATGCAAATTCCTTAAATATTTGGTCTCATTGCTTCTCAAATAATATTCTGCTGCAGCATGATTCTGTTAAGACATCATGATCAATGTCCGTTACCTTCTTCAAGAAAATGTTTCTAGCTATCACTGAAAATACTAAATGATTTCCAAAATAAAAATGGTTTTGCTGAACCTACAATAGGACTGTATGATAATTTATCACCTAGGTCTTAAGACACTTAGACCTATTTTAAGCATCTCAAGTAGTCAGCAAACACAGAAATCATCATAGCATGCCTTTACCATATTACTTCTGAGCATTTTAGTCAGAGTAGATTGGATCAAATTTATGGTGAGGGAAGGGAAAGTCATTATTCTAGGTAAATGGATAAAAGATTAGATCATAGGGAGCAGTTGTTGCCAGGAGAGCTGTTGCTGTATTCTTTTATTTTTAAAGGGAGTCCTATGTAAAACAGGTGTTATTAATCAGTGATGCAAAACAGTCTTAGCAAGTTTGAGAGACCCCTGCATCTGTTATACTACCTGAGATAGGTATCAGCTGATTAGAAACTTGKTGGGGACAAGGGATGTTTTCTTAATATTTCTTCATAATATTCCTATTAAATGGCCACTGTTATCAACCATTGATAATATTATTTCTCTAAATTTCAGGATGTAGATGTTCAGCTTTTTACTAAACCAAAACCTAGATCTGTGTGTATGTTCTTTATAATTCTGGAATTCTTTCAAGTGGAAAAAGACACTGACTACAGAGTATTCATTGGTATCTCAGATTATGTTACAGATATTATCCAATGCAAGCACATGTTGTTAAAACCTAAATGGATTCCAAATGAGCTYTTACATCTGGATAGCTCAGCATAGCATCGTAGAGATACTGATTCAGAGCTGTGTTCATGTGGATCTGTTCCTGAAGTGGTTTTTGTTTTGTTTTGTTTTGAATTTAGCAGAGTTAGTTAATCTTATCATTTATATCATTTATATCACTTGTCATTATAGTTCTAGCTAGTTTGAAGCCAACCTGGGTGTCATTACATAGTATAGCATTGAGCAAAGTTGATACATTTTAAAACAGAATGTCTTATTTCATACTATTTTGGACAATATTTCAAATAGTGTTTGAATAGTAAGCAGTGATCTGTAATTTAAGTATCAATTAAGCATAGGTGTAGAGCAAAAAAAGTGAACCTGACTTGACACTTTTTGAATTTTGCATGCCCAACTTGGCAATTTCAGTATTTGCCTTCTGTATTTTTATGAAAGAAGTATTTTTGTATTCATTGACATTTTATTACTTAGAATTCTGCTTACTGAAAATGCATTTTGCTTAGGAGTCTTGAGTTTAAGTAACTCAATGAATCTTTTTATCTTTTGATAGTTGGTAAATGGAAGGTGTCAGTCCTCACCAGCGATATGCCATCTGCAGGAACAAGCTCACAGGTTTATATTACATTGTATGGGGATCGAAGAAGTTCAGGGCCTATTTTTCTTGATGGAGAGGAAGGGAAATTATTTCAGAGAGGCAATGAAGACATCTTCACAGTAAGTAACATATATTCAGTTTATTGCTTGCCTGTATTCTGCCAGATTGCATCACATTTCAAAAGTTCTCTGATATAAAGACAATGAGTTTTTATGTGTACATATTTGGAATAAGAACCAGGACTTAAATGTGGAGCTAAATATAATATCCTTTGTCTGTCACTCCCACCCAAAAGTCAGTTTGTTCCAACATATTGCTTGTTTGCTTAAGAAGAACTATCAGTCACCTTACTGAGTACCAAATAAATTATCAAGAAGTGAAAAAAAAAAAGATACTTGTTCTTGTTTTTCCTGTTTTTAAATTTGAATTAAAGCAACAATACTAAAAATTAAATGGTAAATAATTAGGGTATGGATTAAATTCTCTTAAGTCCCTGTTACGTTTTTAAAGTAATATCTGTTTTTATACCTGCAATAAATAGGGCATATATCTATCTGAAGTTGCTGTCTCTGCAAATTACAGAAGCAAATTTATCCCCTATCATTCTTGTGCTTTGTCGATTTAAGAGAGCCCAAATAGGTCTGTTATCAACAGACCCCTACATAAGTTCAGTGTGTATGTGGAGTAGTCAATGGGTATCTAGCAGGTGCCTGCTTCAGGGCCACATAACAAGTGCTCCTGTGAACTAGTTTGCAAGAGCAAGACTTCTTTTGAGAGAAGGTACTTGACACTACCACCATTGAAGTGTTCATCTTTTTCACAATAGTCTTACAGCTACACAGGTTGTAGGAAAACTTGTCCTTAGCCCTCTTCAGCCTAATGGAATATCTCAGAAGAGTGTGTCACCTCTGACAGTGTACTGTTCTCCACTTGAATTGCCAAAAAAACTGATCAAACCAACAATATGTCTCATGAAGAGGGTGTTTTTATCAGTCAGGAACATGGCTACCTGCTCCTTTGAATCTTATGTTTCCTGCTCCCTGGCTGTTATTCATTTCACTTCCAATGACTTTTAAGTGCCAAATATGGAGACTGTCCCTGATTTGAAATCACAGATTTGWCTCTTAGGTGAGTATCCATAGCACTGAAGACTATGAAGATTAGGAAATGCCTGCACTGCTTATGTTCTCAGCAAAATCTAGATAATTTTGATCTGTCCTAACTGTTCTGTCTCTCTACTGTTTATAACAGTAAGTTCAGGGAAGTTCACAGTGCAGGGAGTTTGGTTCATACTCGTTTTTACTGTGTGAAAGGAAACAGAGAACAAATTCAGTAGAAAGACAGAATAAAGGACAACAGTATCAGGCTACATCAGAGAAAAAAATGATACAGCAAGGAGGAGAGACGTTCATGGTGTGTTTCCAGTGCCTCAAAGATAAGCTTTCTATTTCTATGATTTAGTTTATAAGTATTGGTTTGAATAACCTTCATACAAAGCTATTCCCTCAGCATGCTGTTATCTGTACTGGACACACTTGTCCAGACTGCCCAAGAGCTAATCTTTCAAATACAGCTTTATAAGTTAATTTAATTGAAATGGTTTATAAAAGGAAACAGCCAAGTTGAACATAATTGTTTCCAAAATTGTAAGGCATATCTTCCTGGAGGGACAGGGAGAAACTCTGAGAGGTACTTGGGAGGTGCTTAGGAGATAGTGATCTGTGCCAGTCAGTGGTACAGATGCTAAACTGAGCAAGATTCTGGTGCCAGTCCAATATTTTTTAGTGGTGGCTACATTCCTCTCCCAGGGACACCAATATTCAGCAGGGGACAAAATAGCTTCAGCAGCATCTCATGTCATTTAAAGAGTGCTGACAGGCCCACAGGTTTGCCAGAAGATTCTTTAAAGGGGTCAGACTTTTTAAGACCATCTTGAGCAAAATACTTCGGAAACACTGGTTTAAGTGTCAGAATATTTGATACAGAGTATTCCTCTAAACAAAAATGTCATGTGGAAGTTAACCAATCGAATTTTTGTTGCACCTCTTTTCCTCATGAGGAATGTACCATGTTTCCTCAATTGTATTCTTTTTACAGATTGATACTGGAAACCTAGGAGAGCTCTATAAAATACGCATAGGACACACAAATGCAGGGAACTTCCCGGCATGGCACTGTGATGAGGTAAAAACACTGAGCAGATGTTTTATCTTTCCAAAAGCTGTTACTGGGACAACGGAGCCATAATATGAGTCAGAAAAGCCCTTTGAGCAAATGTGTTAGCTTCATGATATGATTGCTACTTTGTTTAAGATATTATTTATGGTGAATTATTTTGCAGGGAATTAATAGCATCTTCTGATGATATTGGTCTTACCTTGTTTGTTTGCAGTTGATTTATAACTGTACATTCTATTTCTTTGAAAAAGTGTGGCTGAGTACTGAGGAAGACTGACTCACCTGGCTAGTGTAGTCTGGGTCTTCTGGAGCCTTTGTATGCTGGTGAATGTATAGATTTTGTTGAAACCTGGAAATGACCACTGGCTAGCCAGTTTCTTCTCAGATCTGTGGCTGGAAGACGTGGCTTCTACACAGCACTAGACCTACACATCAAATGTTTCTGATTCTATATTTCTGAACGAAAAAGAAAAAGATGATAGCAAATTCCTTTCCCCTCATTTAAAGTGCTCTCAATACAAATAGAGATGTTAAAGTGAAGAGAATCAGCTAGTTCTGTTTCTAGTTTTAGTTGATGACAATGATAAGGTGAAAAACAACTCCTAATTTTGTCCTGTGATACAGGGGGACAAGCTACCAACTACTTCTGAGCTGTGAGGAGTACTACTTCTGATGTGAGGAGTAGCTAGAAAAGAACAGTGAATTCGTTTATGTGTAAAAGATTCATTTCTATGAAAATGAATCTTTTCAATCTTAGTCTTTGTATTAGAAGTTTGAGTTATCTTAAAATTTGACTCAACAAATGAACCTTTCCATGTTGGTTGTACGTCAGCTTTTGTGAACAGAGGCTGCAGTGTGTGGTTGTGCATAACAAATTATTTTATATTGAAAGATTAAAAGTGTCTGACAAAAGAARGGAAAGAAAAAAATGATTTGTTTTTGTTTTCTCATTTCCCAACTGGGATATTTTAATCTAAGTCAAAGTTTAAAAGAAGCAGCAGCAATTCAGCACTTCAGTGTAACCTGTAAATTAATGATTTACAAATTTCATTTTTCTTCCTTACCAAACCTCAATCCAAACCTCAACCACAGTTTTAGATAGTGATCTTTCAACAGGGTTTGGTCCTTCCGTCTTTGAAACTTTGAGGAGAGATTCAAAGAAACTGTATGCACTCTACTAAATAAGCTTTCCAAGAAATGTAAAATTTTGTATCATATCTGTGGTTGTCCTGAACCTGAAATGGTTTTAGCCTTGCAAATGACCASAGACATGTTAATTTTCTAACTCCAAGTTCCCCTTTCATGATTCCCCAGTAGATGTTGATAGTCTGAGGTTATCTTAGGTTTTTCAGATGAGATGAATCTTGTTCTTTAAAGTTTAGTATATAAGCAGTAAAAAAAGATGAAAGTGTTCCCAGTAATTTTGAATTTATTTAATATTCCAATTAAGGAGCTCAGATTCTATAAAGCTCAGAGCAGGAGTGAAATTATGGGCAGAAGTGCCTTAGCTTCTCTCGGTTGGTCCAAAATCTAGCATAGCTTCTAGCATAAATTAACAGTATCAAGGACTATTCTAATATATACCAACTTTTGAAAAGCTGACTATTGAACATTTGGAATTATAGGTTAACTCGAGCTCTTTCTTTTCTTCAGCGAGTGTGTGCACACAGTTTGTTTGCTACTCTGTACTACAGGTTGGGTATGGAAGAAATTTTCCTCTGACATGTTAGTGTGTGGCTTGTGCTTTCACAATCCATTTATGTCACAAGCAGTGTTAAAGAACCAAAATCTGTTCCTTTAATACCTGTTGTAATAAGAAAACAGGTTAAAAGGCCTACTGTTGCAAGCATTGCTGTTTGGTAAGGCATGCCACCTAGCACAGGTACATATGGATCTGTTAACCTGAATAACATGGCTATTCTTTTCAGGACAGTATCTCAGCCAATAATTCCTATTTGGTGGGGCTTTACTTGACTTCCCCTGACCTATGCTTTTGAATATGATTAAGTGAAGATTGGAGATTTTTGTGTCCAGGGAACAGGCATGCCCCAAAACCATGGGTCTATGATCCTATCTGTTAGCACAGACCTCTACCTGCACAGATTACAGCAGACTTAGTGATCAGGGTGTATAAATACCTCAAGGGAGGCAGTGAGGAGGAGGGGACCGGCCTCTTTTCAGTGGTGGCCAGYGACAGGACTAGAGSAAATGGCCACAAGCTGAGGCACCAAAAGTTCCACAGGAACTTAAGGAAACACTTTTTGCCAGTGAGGGTGACAGAGCCCTGGAACAGGCAGCCCAGAGAGGTTGTGGAGTCTCCTTCTTTGGAGATCTTTAAAACCCRTTTGGACGCAGMCCTGTGCCACGTGCTCTAGGTGACCCTGCGTGAGCAGGGKGTTGGACTAGGTGACCTCTGAGGTCCCTTCCAACCTTAAGCATTCTATGATTCTATGACTCCCACAAACATCGTCTGCTACTACTCCAGCTGAAGTTGCAGTGACTTAAGTTGTAATTCTTGGTGCTGCTTTAGGTGCAGTTACTGAACCTCTACTCAGGGGAGCAGTTTTACTTCCCCGCACATCGATGGCTAACCTGGGACCGAGATGATGGGGAAATCTGCCTGGAACTTCCTGTTTTAYATCACGGTCAACCCATTCTTCCTGGTAAGCCTAATATCACATCAGCCACGTYAGGCCACGGACTCAGACTGGTAGAGATGAACTTGCTATTTTCATCAGTCCCTCTACTACTTTTTGGCAGCTGCAATGCTTCTTCTGTGTTCTTTTCTTCTGATTACTCATCATACTCAGATTAAAAAGGTTAAAATTCACTGGAGAGGAGATGGCAGAGTCCTTAACCTAATGAGTTGAATTTTCCTTTTTTGTTTTTTTCCAAAAGACTCCTGCTTTGCTAAGATTTTCAGCATCTAAAAATAGAGACAATGGTAACAAGATCTTACAGACAATCTTTTGTATTCATAAAAATCAGGAAACAGAAGAAACATATGAAAATCATGAAGTCATTATGAGTCAGATCACAAACCCCACTTTCTATAGCTGAGGATGATAATTTGGCATGACTATTGTAACTGCAGTTTTAATTTTAATTTCTGAGTTTGGAATAAAACTTCAACAACAGATACTTTATACGTATACAAATCCCCACACTTTTCATGCTAATACCAGAATTGCTTTGTAACTCTAAGGGTCCAGGATACCAATCAATGCCAACATTATTAAGCGCTGCTGCTGTTGTGGCATTAGTGGTTGTAATGGCCTATCTTTTGTGGTACTGCACCAATACCTGTCACCCATGTAGGGAGGTGGAATTCAATCCCTTCTCCAAAATAACTACAGATAGGACAAGAGAAAATGGTCTCAAGTTGCGCCAGGGGAGGTTCAAGTTAGACACTGGAAAAATTTCTACACAGACAGAGTGATGAAGCGTTGGAAGAGGCTGCCCAGGGAAAGTGTTGGAGTCACCATCTCTGGCAGTGTTCAAGAAATGTGTAGATGAGGCACCTAAGAACATGGTTTAGTAGGCAGGGTGGTGATGGGTTTAAGGCTGAACTTGATGATCTTGAAGGTGTCTTCTAAGCATGATTCTATGATTCTCTGAGGGATTTGTTTTGCTATACTGTCGCTTTGCTTTAGCAATGGGAAGGGGGTGGGCAAAGACTGTATATATTTTTCACTTCTCTACAGCTGGCAATGCTCCTTCGTAGCCCCAGGAAAGCACAGGAGCATTTGTGAGGYAAGATGTTGGTGAGGGAGCAAGAAGCTGGGGTAGCTATTCCTATCTTTTAGGATGTGCATGTGATGGGAAAATGTCATTGCAACACCAATATTACTGCACCTTTCTCTTGAGCAAGATCCACCTGGGATATGTTCCTGGTCCTCCTCTTCTCTCTTTCCAGGAAAACTGGAGTTTTCCAGGAAAACTCCAGAGTACAAGGTTAATACAGTATGAGAAATTCCCTCTATCACTCTCTAAAACCTATTGACCCACTTTTCAGAATGATTAATAGTATAAGAAATATTTGGTGAAATTGCAGTACTTTTGCTGATCAGGTATGAAATGTTATCATCCATTAGTTTTATGGGTACAGGCTAGAGGATGAGAAAAAAAATTGAGTATCTAGAAAATGGCACGTGAATGTGGAGCAACATGCCATTGGGCATTTTACTACCAAAGAACTCAGTTATCTTGATCTGTATTTGAACCTATAATGACTGAACACTGAGGTTAAGAACTTTAGAAAAGTGGCAAAAATACATGTAACTCATTAATACACCTTTGAAAGAAAAAGAATAGCAGGAAAGATTTTTTTCCAGCAATCTAGCTAGTAGCAGTAAATGGCTCATGAAATGCTATGGAGAAAGGTTGGCTAGCACTAACCACAGTGAATTGGGATCCAGGATGGTTAGGATCCTTATGCCCCAAGAAATGAAAAGTCCCAGAAGTAGTTAACCTCCTTCCTTCAGGTCTGATCTCTTTGGGAAACTCTAAATATTATTAGCATAGGGCAACTCATGCAATAGTAAAAAAAAATCTAACCTTTTAAATAAACAATAAATAATGAACATCAACATGTTATTTATTAATTATCATTAACATGTAATTAATTTGAATGAATTTGAATTCCTACCTTGCAATAGCAGTTCTTTCCAGAGCTTCCTTCCTTACTCAGTATTCTGGCACCTTGACTGTACATACGAGACTTCTAATTTCAGGCTCTACTTTCTAAGCTGTTTGTTTCTGAAATAAAGAAATAATGAAAGATTTTTATTATCAGGTGATTTTATCAGCCACTCTCTCAGTCTGCATTTTATCCTTGGTAACTTCTCCCTCACACAGGAAGAGGAAGAAAGGAACATCTGTATACTTCTGCCAACCAGAGTATTAGAGGAGTTGTGTGAAGGGTGGGAGAAGGGAGTTTCTGCTCTAACTCAGTAATTGAAAGAGCCTCTGCTGCTTTCTGTCAGTGTTAGATTTCTGCATGAGGCAGAAAGGAGAGCATAGCTTTTAACTTCAGAGAAGATAGTTTGATAACAGAACAAATGAAGAGGACTGGATTCAGCCTGAGAGAGAGAGATGATGAGAGGCACTTTATAACCAATTTCTGAACAAGAGGAGGCTGAAACGCTTTCTGATTTAACAGTCTTTCATATTCACGGGGAAAAATGTGAGAATTAAATAAAACCGCTAAGAAATATTACATAGAGACTTCATAGCTCTGATTTTGAGGCACCAAACAGCAATACATTTGACTTTTTTTCCTGAGCTATCCTAATTTTGGCCCTTTCTAACAATGCACTATGGCAGAGTCCTTAATTATATGCCAGTTATTATATGCTCTGGGGATAAATTAGTGTTACACAGTGTTTGGTTACTGTTGGAATTCTACTTTTCTTGTCACAGAGGCAGAAAATGGATGGTTAATGTAAGAAGGAAATCCATGAAGATAGAGGTTTGTCATAATTTTAGATATGGAGTGTTGACATGGAGAAATGGATTCTACATCCTGCCTCTGCCATAGTTTCTACATAGAATGAGATATCAGTTTACACAAATCAGGTGGTGACATCGTACACAGTGTAGATAAAGTAAAACATCAGCTAACAGCTGTTAAATGAAAACTATTTTAATTATTGAGACGGATATATTCTGAGGAAAACTGTCAAAAGCTTCTGTCATTAATACATGGCTTTTTTTCCCTGACATACTAGTTGATCAGACAAAGAAGTACATTCTACCTTTTTGTCCTACTTCTCACAATTCATAGGCAGAGAGGGGAAAAAAAAGTTTCACAGATACTAGGCTGAGAGTACCATGTTTACAAATGTAAAGTTTTATACTTATAGACCAAAATAAAGAATACAGTTTCCTCTCTTAATCTCTGTTCTGAAAAATAGTCCATGGAGTATCTAAAGGAAAGACAATCTACTAATACTCAGGATAAAAAGTGTAAAAATTATAAATACCAGCATGATTCCCAGCTTTATGCAAGGGTGAAGGAAGTGTCAAAACTTATAAAATAAATACTTGATTTTTTTTATTTAACTATTTCAAGCTTTTGTTCTTATTTTTTTTTACAGAGCATGTCTGTAGTGCAATATTCCAGTGGAGTTTAGAGCTACCCGGTGAGCACATCTAAATGAGCTCACTTTGGTGCTAGAAACATCCTAATCCTAGTGCTCTGTGTGGGCACATTAAAATAATGCATGCAGATTATATACTGATTTAGCTAGATTGTTGCTTCTATCCAATTTTTTTGAGCAGCTTGTATATAATAATACTAATATAATAAATAATAAATAAATAATAAATAAATAAATACAAAGTAAGCATGAAAAGAAGACTAAAAAAACACTTGGCACAACTCCAGATATAGGTTGATCATGAATGGGTTGGCACTGATTATTAAAAAAGGTGTTTGGACATCAGAAGAGTGAACTCTGAGTAATATCCTACTGATGAACTGAAGTCAAATTTCATAACATATTTCAGGTGGGAACAATAATAGAATGATGATAATGTTGATATGGTTCTGGACCCAGAAGTCCAGAAAGTCTTTTTTATTTGGAAAGGCAGAGAAGGACAAGGACACCTACATCCAGAAGAGGAGATTATTTTCTCTGCCTTTTCTCTGCCTTTGTATATCATTTGGTCGAACAAAATATTTTATTACTGCCTGTAAACTTTGCCTTTCTCATGTTCCTGTGGAAGAGCATTGCTGCATAATTTGAATAATTGCACATTCTGGATTTTCTGGGTTTCCTACATCTGTATTTTAATAAGCACAGTTTATATATGGATATCTATTATTTATGTATCAACATCTCAAGCTCCAGGGATTTTGACTTAGATTTTATTTTATTGTGGATTATACATTTCAACCAAATAGTTATTAAATTTAGGTCCTAGATTTTTCCTCACAAACTCACAGTATTTAAAGAATTTTCATATTAATGTAATAGAGGAAGTTTATACTATCCTATTGCATGAAGCACTAAAATTTTAAAGCAGCACAGCTTTCTGAATTCTATGGTCCTAGAAAACTATGGTGCTAGATTTTTGCTTTTTGGGTTAACCGTATTCAAAAGTTTCATGACACCCATTGACTGTTTAAATTTTGTTCTCACTTATGATGACTCAGTTTAAACTTATGTCTCTTACTTTTCTGCTTTGTGATGACTTCAAGAGATTCTGCGGAACCAAAAAATACAGTTATGCATTTCAAACTCAGTTCTGCATTCCCCACAGTGACATTCTGGGCTAAAAAACATAAATATAAAACAAAAAAAAATTGTTTTCTTAACAGATTTTTAAAAAATTCTACTTAACAGATTTTTTTAAAAAACTTTATGCAGTAACTACCCTACTTTGGCTGCTGTATGATACTGTAGCTACAATAGTGTTTGCTATATGAAAAGCTGTCATCTTTTATTTTCAGTGACTGTCTATGAAGTGCATGTGACAACAGGAGAGCTGTGGAATGCTGGAACTGAAGCTGATGTCTATATTTCTATCTATGGAGAAAGAGGTGATACAGGTTCAAGACAGCTGCACAGGTCACCAAAACCCAAGAAATTTTTAAATGGACAGGTGAGTAAAAAAAAATACGTTTTCTGATGTGTTTGGCTTAGTTTTCTCTCTCAGTCATCTCAGAAAAAGTATTATATTTTATATAGGTATTATATTTCAATATTCCTCCCCAAATTGTGTAATTAACCTAAAGTTACTTTCAAAAGGCATATCAGTGTTTTTGGAAGAAAATTTTAAATTTGTTTATAAAATAGGTAAACTACATACTTTTATTTTTAATTCTTTAATATGTTTGGTTCAATAGATGGAAAGAAAATGAAACTTTAGATTTTTTATGTGTACTTCTAATGCTGAAATCTGCTGCAGTTTGTAATTGTTTAGTCAATTAAGCTTTAGGTAAGTTTCTGTTTTCTGACTCTAATCCACTCATCTGAGTAGAACTTCTCATATTAGCAAAGTGATTAGGCTTCATAATTTCTGTTGTTGCAAGAATTCTGTCTTGCTTTATTTGTTCTGTTGCTATCTGATATTTTATAGATCATGATTGGCAAAGATGTATGAGTTTAAGAAGATCTTTCAGATTGCATGACTGAAGACTATTTTGCTTTCTAGATCTTAGTGAATTTTTGTTGATTGATTACAGACAGACAACTTTCCTATTGAAGCTGTGCACCTTGGGCACTTGTACAAGATCGTTATTGGACACAATGGCCTTGGATCAGGTCAGAGGTGTTTATAATCACTAAATATAATGTACAGGGTTTTCTAAATATTTGAGCTTAAATTCAGTATAAAATAGCAGCATATTTTGAATCAGATAGCAGAGTTGTACGGATGGGACAATGCTAAACAAGTCATAAAATAGTCCTCTGCCCTTTTCTTATGTTCAGTCATACCTCATTCTTCCCTTATTTACCTGCATTTCAACATGTTCTCTYGGTATAAAGAAAAGAACACAACATTTGCTTTCTAGTCTTCCTCCATGAGTGGCCATTGCTCGATGCCTGTGATCCAGGGCTGCCTGAGAGATAACGCTCAAATCCTCTGCTATATTTTAATTATATTAAAAGATATAATATATATTAATATATTAATATATTAATATATAATACATATATTTTATATATAATATATATTAAAGTATTAATATATTTAATTTAATTATAATTTAATTTTAAGGAAATACTCCCCTATATTTTAATTATAAATTCATTTGCACTGTACACATAGAAACTTAGACAGGCTATGCCAAATTCGATGAGAGTTTCTGTCTATCTATCTGCCCTGAAAACGTGTAAGGAAAGAAAAGTTTCCTAGTCCAAGTGCCTTTGACCTCTTTGGTTTACAGACAAGAACCCTTCTAGACAAAAAGAACAAAAAAAAAAACCCAACAAAAACAACCAGCTGCTGATGGCAATCTCATATTTTTCTTTTACCTCCTATGGACCATCCATAGTTTTATGCACTCCTGGAGGTTTGTAGCTCAGAGCAAGATACAGTGCAATTCCATTTCAGTTTTGATAACAGATTTCTTTCTGATCAATAATTGATTTGGTTTTCAGATTATCACCCAGATTTCATTTTCACCTTAAGATAGTTTTCATAGAATCATAGAATCATTACTGTTGGAAAGACTTTAAAAATCAACAAGTCCAACTTATGTCCTTCAGCACCATGCGTGTTAAACCATATCCCTAAGTGCCTCATCTGCACGTTTCTTGAACCCTGCCAGGGATAGTRACTCCAACACTTCTTTGGGCAGCCTGTTCTAACACTTGACTACTCTTTCCATGTATATTTTTTTTTCCTAATATCAGGGCCTCAGAACTGAACAATATCAAAAAATAGCCTTGATTGTGGGCGGCGGGGAGTGGGGTGTATGATCAGTCATGACAGCTAGGTAGAGAACAAGCAGCTTGCAGATCCATAAACTAATCCCAGTCTGTCTACAGCATGTACCATCTCCTATACAGCCAGAAGGACATCTGTGGCACTAGAAACCTGCCAGTATTGCTGAGGATATTGCAGTTCCAGTGTAACAGAGAAAGCCACGGGAAGTCAGACTTCATTAAACCTGCTGCTCATAAGTTAATTTTAATTTTGAAATTTGTTTTAAGGGAATGGCTGGTTTCTGGACAAAGTTGTAATCAAGGATCCTATCACAGGTCTGGATTATACTTTCTTTTGTCACAGGTTGGTAATGTTTCCATTGGATTAGGTTTTTAATAAAGCTCTATATACTCATGTTTTTTTCTTAGGAAATGTACCATCAAGGGAGAAGCATGTTTCCTAGAAACCTAAAATGACCTGATTCCTTTTRCAATTTTCTGATGATAAAAGGTTGTTCCTACCTTAACATCTGGTACATTGGAGATAATGAATAGTCAGTGAAAAATTCTACATGGAATGTTTCCATTCTTGTACTTCATGGAATATTTAATAGGTGTTTTCTGGCACATTTCTCATATCCAAAGCTTTGGATCTGACACAGAGCTCAGAATCAGATTTCAAGATWTTGTGGAATGGTTATCACTAAGGTAGCTGTCTGAGAGCATCTCTTTTCCCCTTGTTTGCCTTATGGTCTGTAATGAGCTGCAACATAATTTGAAGCGATCTTAATTTCCCTATCTTCCCTCCTGCAGATACTGCACTTCTGAATCTTCTGTTTTATAGCTCACTTACTTCTAATTTTATCTATTCCTGGTTAATTCTCAACATCTTAATTGATAAAGACCAGTGCAAATATTAGGCATGGCAAAGTCCAGTCACGTACGAATACAGCTACAACTTGCCAGTGGCACCTCGGTTCTATTTCCTTCTCTTACTTCTCTGAGTGAATAAATAACTGCCTAAGACAGCTCCAAGTGAGCGATGTGCACACTGAAGCTGATTTATGTGTGAGTAAAGACTTTCTGCCTATCAGATACAGCACCTCATCTTTGCCCGACCTAATTTTACTTCTGTATTCTAGATGAGATGAACTGCTATGAAGAGATCTATAATGCTAGTTTCATACATAATTTAGGGAGAGCTCAAATCCATTTCGGGCAGAAAAATACAGTGTACGTGCTAGTTATTGTTAGAGTTTGATACCATTCTTGCTGATTTTGCTCTCACAATGTGTGAATCCCTTTGACTGAAATGGAGTTAGACTTAATTTATGTAAGTATATGTGAAGCAAGTACAAAGGCATTGTAAAAATACAATTGAGATACAGTKAGAGTGTTGCCTAGGTTGTATTTGCCTTTCTGTGTAGGGTTTTGCAGAACACAGTAAAGTTTTCATCCTGATGTAGCCTTTTTGTAGACAGGAAGAGAAAACATCATGCCACAGAACCTTTTATTGTTGAKCTGGGTTCAATCTGACCCCTCTGATTTGTAGTTACTGGCTTAGACCCTTGTATGTCTGTACAGGAAAAAATTTATGTATATGTTTCATCAAGAACTGCTCTCCCACATACCCTCAGAAAAGAAAAAAAAAATTAAAAAGCATGTCTGCAAAAGTCAAACTCTTTTCCTTAAAAATGGGTATTTATATTGTTTGGCAGTTTTGAGGCCCTAATGAACACAACAGAAAGCAAATATCATGCATAGCATGCTGTGGAAATTATAAATAAAATTTATAATACAGCAATCAGTTCTGTTTTTTAGATGGCTGGACCATGGGGAGGATGATGGCAAAATCGCTAGAGAACTGATTGTGACAGAATCTGGCCCATTTTCTGGAAGTAAGTGAAGACTGGTGGGGAGGAGAACCTAGCCTAAATACAGATGTGTCAGAGGACATGAAGATACTGTGTAAACTAATCRTGTGCTTTTTGTCTCTACAGGGCAAGAGCTGGAACTCAAGAGAGAGGAAAGTGTAAGAACATACTTTTATATTGTTATTTTAAACTATTTGTTGTGATTCAAAATAAGCTTTGAGGTCAGTTCTTCTCATGTACCCCAAATTCCTGTGTTACATCTTCTCATAAGTCTTTTCTTCTTGTTTACAAAACCAGTGGGCTGCGGAAAAGTGGAAGTTTCAAGAAGGCARTATGCTTCAGTTCTACAACAAGCTCACCCGTGGTTTCATATGCCTGAATCCAGAYGGGAAAGTTGATGCTCTTGGTGATAAGAAAAATAAATATGGTATTTTTTGTCTGTTTTTATGTACGAAACATACAAAAAGAAGAGGACTTCATGTATCACTGAGATCTTTCTGTAGTCACTCCTGCTGTGAACAGATATGTCTTTTTTCCCTTAAAATTTACATGTTAATGGTTATAAGAATTCACAAATAAGATGTTTACATTACCTGTAAAAAAAGGACAAATCTCTCATAATATCTTTTCACTGCCTTTGTCTTAGAAAACAGAAACTTCTCACCAAGGGTTTGGATAATCCCTGAAGGAACTGTCATGGCAAGAACAGTTAAACTCTTTTGTAATAGATCCACCCAAACTTAAAACTAGCAATTTTGAGTTTCCAGGTGTAATTCAGTTTTGTTTCATCCTCGTCTTTCATTTTAACACTTTTTCTTCCAGTTTCCAGCTTCAGTTTTAGCATGATACTGACACTTATTCTAGATAGTTTTAGATTAGGCACCAGCATTTTTATTATCTTGGTAGTGGCGGATCTGTTCAGCATTTCTCACATCTTTTCTCGGACTCTGCACACATATTTTTGGAATGACAGAATAGACTCTTAAAGCCCACGTGMAAGTAAAGAAAGGGAGGTGAATACTCCGCAGCATAGCTAATAAAAGCATTTCAGAAAAACTGTTGCTCAAAAACTCAAATGAATAATGAGATATTTGTAGTATTGCCAAGCATTGAAAGTGAAATTTACTCTGTTTTCCTAAAACTGTTTTTATGAGTTACCAGTATTGGGTTTTGAATTTAAGTTGTCCGGTGATTTGAACAMTGAATAACTCGAGAGATTTGATCTATGACATGAACAATTCAGAGTATTTCTAGTGTTTAAAAAACAGTTCCGCAGCAATACCCTTCCTTTGAGGAGTTCAACTCAAGATCACAAAYAGTGACTTAGTAAAAGAAGGTGCTATTGTAGGAATCTGACCTCTAAGCTGTGCTGTTGCAGGAAACATACCTTTGCTGCTTGTTAGTGCTGTGTCTGTGACTGATGGATTATATCTGATTTGATTTCATAAAGCATCAGAGAATTCATGATCTCCTCATATGCAGAATTCAAATTCAGCAGAATGTTGCCCAATTTTTAGCCAGAAGGTACTCTCCTTTCTAAAAATTATTGCATTTCTAATGGTATTTTCAGATATAAGCATGTGACCTTTTTATTGCGTTCTGTACATTTTTAGTGTATTTTTACATTTTCAGAATATTTTTACATGCTATTTTATGTGTTTTAATTCCCCATGAATCTCGCCTGTACAGTTTTATGAGCTATATGATCAATCTACTGTGCAAACCTGATGCACAACTACCACAAATATCAATAGTTAAGTATAAGAAATATAATTAATTATCTTAGAAACAATGTTAGATAGAAACCAAATTGATGTAAGCTGGCTGTTGGATTAATTAATGAGGTTGGAAGTCAGAAAAATGTTTCCATGTATATGAKATGCAACTTCCCAAAGACTTAGTARTACTCGGAAATTAAACCACTGATCAGAAAGAGCTTGATTTTTTACATTATGAAGTTGCCCTGATATCAGAGAAATAGACATAGTCATCTAGGAAAAATTATGTCACCTTATTTTTATATTTCAGCGTACAAAATGAACACAAGTACAAAAATAATATAAACCTATCACGTATTTTTTATGCCTTCAGAGTATGTTTTCCTCTGTCTATTTCTATCAGATTTGTTTGGGTCACTTACATGTGCAGCAGTTTGTATGGCAGCTTGAGCATGTAAACATGTACAGCAGAAGTCAATGTCAATGCGTTGACTTCAAAACTGTGATTTAAATTTTCATTTTGAGGCTCTGCTGCTTTCCATATGCTTTGGAATAAAGTCTTCCAACATAAACTAGCCTTTCCTAGCAGGAAACTGCATGTCTCAGATATTGGCAGAACTGCTTAATAATAAATATGACCCTAGATTTTTACCAGATATAAGCGATATATTTTAAAGATTCTGAAAGTAGTCCTGGCAGATYATATGAGGTGATGATTTGGTTCAGGGCTTTTTAATTTCCCAGATAATTCTTTTTCTATATGAAACATAAGACCCAAATTGACAATTAGGTGTCACTTCCTGTGTTGCTCTGAGCACTGCAAGTCCCATCACTATTTTAGGTCCAAGGTCTCCTATAAATTGTGGCATCATCCCAATGAGCACAACGAGCATTGCCTGAATGTAATTCTGTTTTCCCAAGGACACTGTCAAAATCTTACATCACCCAGGACTCGCCTGGAGGAAACTGCAGCTTCCAAACAGGGTGATATGAAGTCATGGTACAATAGTTGTTATAACAATCAACTGCTGCTGGTGGAGACAATAAAAATGTCATTTCTTTAGCTTTCGTCAGTATTTTGAAGCTAGAAGAGGCAACTATAAAGCATACTGGACAATTAAAATTTTAGAGGCATGAGCCACACTGCAAGATTTGTTTTATAAATCCTCATATTAATATAGTAAAATTAAGTTTGTTTTCCTGCCTGAGAATTTTATGCTACTAACATTGCATAAATTTGGTTGCTATAACCCAGTTCATTGCATTGACATCCCTGGCTTCCTTTTTATGGAGTTTTTAAAATTTTAAAAAATTCATGAAAAAATAAAAAATATACTCTTACTTCTCAGGGTTACTTTCCTCCAGGCAAAGAACTTGGTAACAATCTCTAAATGTTCTAATGAGTGAAAATGGGATTCATTGATCAGAGGTCAATATGTTATGTTAGTAAATACTTATTTCATTCTTTCATCTTGAAAATGATAAATCAATTATTGTAATTAGATACAAATACAAATTAATAATCTTTCATACTCCTACCCTTTTTTTCATTAAACTCTTAGGTATTTTTGTTGTGTTGGTCAAAAGGAAAAATATATGCATATTCAGCAGTCATCAGATGCCACATCTTGCTCTTGCTGTTGTCAATGGCTATGTAACTGGAAAGGTAGGAAATGCTCTGATTGCTGTTTCATGACAATATCTCATTATCTATCTAAATGTAATACTATTTTAAATCTGTCTAATAAATAATCACGCTTCCAATCAGATAAGAAGCTAAGATCTACAGAATGGACCCAGGACTCTGCACATTGCTAGGCAAATTCAAACCTGGGATTTTGTTTAGAACCTGTATCTCGCAGCCTAATTTTTAATCCTTAGTGATTTTTTTTTTTAATGGACTAATTGATTTGGTGTATTGATACCAGATTGTTTCAAGCTGTGATTTATATTGACTTGCCACATGCTGACAAGATAGTTTTAATACCCAAGTATCTCCTCATTTTGGATAAGTACCATTTTTAAGGGCTGATTTTAAATGCCCATTTCTTTCCTTTGTGTTTTGTTTCTAAGTAATCTGCCTATCATAAGTGAACTAAAATATTCCACCTTTATTTTGATCCTTACTGTTTCATCCCATCTTCAAAGGCTTACTATTGTCTTTCTTTCTCAGCACTGGCAATAAGGAAGGGGGCAAATGCAGCTGTGGAGTTAGTTCCTGCTGATGGAACTCCCTACTGACAAAGGAAGAAATTCTCTCCCATTCTATTATTTAATCAGTGAATAATCTAATAGTGAAAGGAGGCCCCATTCCTCTCTTACATGATGTGCACTGGCATTAGAGGGAATAGAAAGCCTTCAGCAGAATTMGGTCTCTCAATGGGAATAGCTTCAAGCTGCCAGGCAAACTGTCAGATCTGCTTGCAAGACTTTCTAGTGTTCATGTTCATTAGTATAATTCTGATAAAGAAAACCTCTTGCAGCCAATGATGTTTCATGTAGAATGTATCAGCACAAAAGAGTGTTAACTGTGTGCTTGCATTTTGGATTTCTGTTTTCTGTGTGTATGTTACTGACAAGTTATGAGCTTGAGCAACCTATTTAAACACTGGCTCTCCTTTTTTTTTTTTTTTTTTTCCTCCTCTTCCAAGGGAATATGAGAAAAAAATTGTTTTTACTTAAAAGTCATTGAGGTCCTTGGAAGGAAGACATGTAAATATAAACCAGAACGACAATAAAAAGATGACAGTTGACCTTGAAAGGCACATCTGATCATATTTTGAAGGACATGCTATCTCACTTATTTCAAAATCACCTATAAAATCCGTCCATTTTTTTCCTTTGCTTTTTAAAATCTATACAGGATTTGATAGATTTTTTTTTTTTTTTTTTGAGTGTGAAGATCTCTCTTCAAAATGTAGTGTATTGTAAAGGAAAATTTTCTATAGAAATATTGATTCCTCACGTTTTGAAAAATCCTGAGAAATACTGATAAAAATGTGAAATTATGTGAATCACAAGTCTCTCAAATTATCTGGTTGATTATTTGCATTTAGTGTTTATTAAAGTCCTAGTTTTGTTTAAGTATGAAAGTATGAAAAAGCAAGCAAGCCTGAGAGAACAGAAAGGCATTTTCACATTAAACTGGTAGCCTCAGTGTAATGTAGAAGCTAAAACTGTGCCAGCATACTCTCTGTTTTGGATTTGACTACGTCTTGTAGTTCATACCATTGATTATTCTGACTTTGACTGTGTTAGAGCAAAGGGGAGACTCACTGYGAGCTGTGTGTGCACCTGCAACCAGATCGCTGTGCCATTCTGGAGTCTGCCAGGAATCCAGGTCACACCGTGACATTCAGTCTTCAAGGCAAAGGAGCTGATGAAACCACAGGATACGCTGGACTTTCTAAAGAATTTGTTGTGCATGTCAAGGTAAGGTGGCTGGAAAGACCTTAAGAAGACCCTTTTGAAATTTAGCCTTATAAAGCAGATTGTATTTAATTAAATCTCAGTGGATTTAGGCTGAAAGCGTGGTCCTCTTCCACGAGGTGGAGCTAAACTACAGTTTAATAGGTAGGTGTTGCTTGATAAGTTTTCCTTTACAGCTCTTCAAGGGAAAGATATGGAGATCYTGTGGCTGTGCAAATAAATTAAAACCTAGAGAAATAAAAGATGTATTCTCCAAATTTTAAGGAAAATTTCCAAGAGAAAGAAGGTATGTACATGGAGGAGAGCTGCAAGGAAGTTACTTGATTTGAAATGAATGTTTTTTAGCTTGCCCAAAGTCTTCTCAATGTTATGCTACACTGCTAGACAGTAGAAAGCAGTGAAACTGTGGGGTAGTGAAGGGCTTCCACTATTCAGGTTAGTGGCTGCACAGCATTACAGCGCATATTCCAAGGCTGAAGGTATACTTGAATTATCTGGGACTTATTTATTTACATTTTATGTATGCAAATGCACAAAAAAAAAAGTGCTTAAATCACTATAGACTAAAAATATCAAAGATAAGTGTGGAGAGATGCTGTGCTCTTGATGAAGGACTTGCTGCCTCTGATCCGAAGGGTGTGTTTCATCATGGTGCCATCATCCTGCTCAACACCAGCCTGTGCCAGGCTCTCTCGCTTAAACCTGATGGGAGCTGCAGTGGAGCGGGACGTCAGCAGCAGGAATCCTACTGGAAAGTGCATAAAGTCTGCTCTGGAGTCTGCATGTTTGAGAGCGTGAGAAATCCACAGATGTATTTGAAGATAAAAGACGGCCAGTGTAATGGAACAGTAAGCAATTCCTGTTTATATTTTCTTCTGTATTTTACTTGGGTAAATTTTTAGTGAATCTTTTTTTTTTTTTTTTTTTTTTTTTTTGTTTCTTGAACAATAATGTGATAAAAGTATTGCCCAATTTAAAATTGGTCATATCTTCTCCATCATTTGCCCAAGGAATGAAAGCAATACCGCAAGGCATGTTGTTAGATGCATTTGACAGTTGATTGTAAAATCTAATTCTATTTTTAAATTATTGAGAAAGTCGATGCGATTGAAGCCTATCTATCGCTAATGCTGGCTGTGTCAAGACCTATTTGCAGTAATACCTTTTCTATAGAAATAACTATGGTTGTACTGATGTGAACTTTTTGGAAGGATGTTGATGCTGTGAAGTGATGGTGTTTTATTCATTTTTTTAACCAATTTTACTGAACAATTCTATTTCATTTGAAATTCAACATCTGATTTTCTTCATCAACCAACAATGTAGAATTTATTATTGAAGTTACTTTAGCATTTATAAATATTCTTTGTATTTAAGAATAAAATTAARTTTGGAAAAAGATTGAGATATTCTAATTTTTAGACCCACAGTCTTCTCCAGCTGGAAATTTAAAAYTGAGAAGAAATAAATTTAATCATTACACTCAATGTTTACTAATCCTATATCTGTTTATTGATAACAATTGATAWAGTTTTGAATGTGGTAGCATGCAAACTTTTTTTTTGTGATTTAAAGTGGTATTATGTCTAAATTAATGACTGATGGCAAAAACACTAATGCACTAATGCACTAATCTTAACACTAATGTTAAGATATAAGCAGCTGAGATCTACGACAGTTGTTCCATTGACTCCAATAGATTTTGCAAAGACCAAAAGGAGAGTTTCACATGCAGCTTGTGCTTTTCTTTCTAGYAGTTATTGCATCAAAATGCATTAAACATAAAAAGTTTAAAGTATAATATATGAAAGGACTTCTATCTAAGGAATATCAAACTGGGATTACTACTAAAGTTCTAGTCCTCTTAGAAGTGTGTGGATTGAGTAAAGGCTTTTAAATTTACCCTGTAAGTACTATGAAATGCGTATTAAAAACGTTAAGAGCAGGTAGTAGCAGCAGTTATCAAAAACAGAAAAAATATAATAACATTATCTCAGGTAATACTAGCAAATAGGCATTATGTATTCATATGTATTTCCTCAGTTGTCTGTTATAGTTCTTTCACGTTCAATGCTCTCTTGACTTGAAAATTGACTACGTGAGAAACTGCTTTCAAGATATCTTAGACTTTGCTAAGTCCTAACATGAATCAGGATACTTTCATATGTGGTCTTTCACATACTCGGTTTATGTGACTGGTCTTACCTGACAACAGCAGAATAAATTGGCCCAAGATGTAGATATGCATGTATGTGTGTAATAATATAAGATATTAAGAAGAATCGAAATTTGAAATGTAATTAGAAGAAGAAAGTAGTGTTCAAGTCTTACTAAACATCCAAGTTCCCTAACCACATCTGTTCAATGATTGAATTTCATGTTTCTGTTTTGATTTCATAGGGCACTGGTGATGAATATTGTCACTTTAAAATTGAACATAATTTGGAAAGTGGATCTGTAAGTCTAGAATCAGTGAGAAACAAAGGAATATATGTTGGTCTTCTGCCGGATGGACAGGCTAAGCCAGTTATTCACACTGGAGAAAAAAATATTTTATTCTATCCACAGGTCATCAAATGTACGTGATTTCTTAATATGCTACAGTTTGCGTTTGTGATTAGTGGGGTTTTTTTTGGCAAGACTTGAAGTAAAAACATAAAAGTTAGGCTTACACAATTCACTTTGCAGGATTTTAGTTCTTTTAAGGGTGAAAAGTTTATTATACCCACACAATTTCCCCTAAGTGGCTTGTTTTTTTTAATTCTTTTTTTTTTCTTATTTTTAGTCTTTTTTTCAATAAATAATTCAGAAGAAACTTTTTTTTTTAACTGAATAAGAAAATTTTTGAGTATAAGACACTTAAAAAGTGACAAAGTAGTTGATATCTTGGGTCTGTTCTCCATTCTGGATACAGATAAGGGAAGCCTGGGAGATGCTACCTTGCAGCAAGCTATACCAGTCTTTCCTATTTTTACAAGAAAATCTGTAGACTTTAGAGAGCCTATACYTGAGAGTCATCAGGGTAATTTCATTTTTAATGGTGCAAAATATTGTGCACTTCCCTATACCCTCAAGTAGATTGTTTCTTCTGCCCTATAGTCAGATGTGAAAGCTATGGCAGTCAAATGCTCCCTCACTAGGCTGAACTATTTTAGTTGACTAGTGAGGACTGAGAAATTCCCTCTCAGCACTCTCTGGATCATGGTCACTGGATTGCCTGCTTGTCTCCTCTCCTGCACTAGTTTATTTCAAATAATTAAGTTAATATTAAGTTTTTTTCATTTGGTTAATTGTTACCAGCCAGCATTATCATGTTAAACCTACAGAGAATGCCAAAATTACAATTTTTAAATTTGTATCTTGTAGAAAATGTGACAGAGATCAAGAGAAGAAAGATTATGTGAAAAAGTAGCCATCAGTTTTAAATTCCTTTGGATGTTTTTTCAAATACAAGCAGTACAAGTTCATCTAGAATGCTTTGATCAGCTATGATCAGTGTATCATAACATACACTCTTACTATTTTGTTTTATGTCTATTTTGACTAAGAAGCACTGAAGCACTGTGAAAGCCACTGTAATGGCATCCCCACCATTCAGGGAGCAAAAATGCTTTAGTCAATGTGTCTTTGTACAAAAGAGGAAAGAATTTTCTTTTGTACTATTTGGAGGATTGGGTTTCCCATGGAAGTTAACAAAATAGTGCTATTTGATGCTGTTAAAACAAAGCTAAATGTTAGGGGTTTCCCCCAATACCTTTAACTCAGTAAAAATAAGATAAAAGGAACTAATATTTTCTGGCAGAGCAACCAAGATTTATCTGTTTGCTATTTAATATTATCACAAATGGCCTCTAGCACTTTTCTTTTCAGCATTCTCCACTTTAAGAAAGGAAATATTGGGAGAGTGGGAAGCTTATCTTGAGGAAAACTACGTTTGAGCAACTCATTTGATTCATACATCAATGTTAAATTGTTACTTAGATTTTCAAAGCAGTAAATGGATTTTTATTGGCATGCCATATTTTTTCTACTTTTCATTGCATGCTGCTAACAATGAAAGCCTATTACTAGTGGCTGTGTGGTACATAGAAAAAAGATCTTGGCATCTGTTCGGCAGAACAATTGCAAGGTCTATTATTAGTGTTTGTCATTGCATATATGAGATACTTCTGAGTGAGAAAAAGCAAGTGATTTGTAGCTAGTGACAGAGTTAGCATTTCACTGTTTTAGTTGGCCGTGAGGAGCCCATGGGAACATCTGCAGCACCCAACCGAAAGACAAAAGCTTTCAGAGAATCTGAACACCAACCAGCAAATGAGCAATCTGAACAGCAACCAACCCAGAAGGCAGGGTCCCAAAGCCCTATAACTTTTCCACCCACAGGTAAGCAGTAATCTACAAAATATTTCTTATGTAGTACTACATTATGTCTACCTTGTATGCATGTTCACAAGGAATTAGGTCAATAAGAAGTTTTTTTTTTGGTTTATTATTTAGTCAATGATCATTATATAACTGTTAAATAATTTCACAATATCATTTTCTAAGTATCCAGCCATCTAATCTATTTGCCTTTTTTCTTTCTCTTCCTGTGAGAAGATCTGTAGCCTAAATTAGGCTAATATAAGAGAGAGACCTAGCAAAAGCCCACTGAAAGAATGGAATATTTCCTTTTTATGCTATCCAGATTTATGTCAGATTCCTTTTTAGTTTCTTTTTCACTTACTGGGGAAAGAATAAGGTCTAAATATGAAGCATGCTAGCTTCATCTCTATGGTTAGTTGGGTAGGAATAATTAAAAATTGTTCCACTCATGGCTTTACTTAAGCTGTGTTAATTTCGTAAATTGTCTAAGGCAATGATTTTCCCATATCAACATATTTCTGGGAATATTCAACATCCTAGTAACTAGAGAAGCTGTGACTGAGGAGCTAAACAAGAGTCAACTAGTGATACAAATGTTAAAGAGTTGGGATAAGCAAAGTTTCTTCCTGTCCCTCATTTATTTTGTTCTTCTCAAGGATACTTTGACTTCACAACTTGAATTGTGTAATATTACCATCAAAAACAGATGGGGTATATGCAAACTACTGAGATCTGAATAGCATATAGAGATACATCCACATAGCTGAAAAAAAAATAAAGGCAAGACTATGCTGGGGTTGTCAGTATGAGAAAATAGGCAAAGTCACTAGGAGCTAGTCACAAAGGCATTCATAAGGCAAATGCTTCAACTGGGCAGCTCTTTTTTTTTTTTTTTTTTTCTTTGCCTGTTGCTCAAACTGCTATTTTGAAATGCACATAAAACCTGTGAACCATGAACACATGAAGCCAATGTGAACCAATGATAAACATAGCGAACTTAGTCCTGGGGTACATGTGAAGTAAAAGGAAAGATTTTGAAATACTAGGAGTTGAACCAAAATGCATTGCTTAAATTCAAAGGTGTGGGTTATTATTTCTAAATTACTGCTACGTGTTTATGACAATGTTTCCATTCTTAACTCAAAACACCCACTTCCAGTTTCTAATCTGGGACTTCATGTTGAATTACTGTGTCACATAGCCTTCTCAAAGTGGTGTAGGCTGTCTGCAAATAATGTGATGTGCTGAATTTAAAACTCAAGGCAACAACACACAAAAAGCAGCAACTTGATTTTAGGTTTGAATACTAAAGATGCTTTTATAGAAGCAATATCAAACATAAAATTGGTTAAGTATATAACACTGTTAGTGCGTGTGACATTTGTAAATGTAGGTTCTACTCATGCAAAATGAATAGAAATATTAAAGTTACTTTGTCTTCTGAAGAAAATGCTCATATAGTTTTAGTCGTTTTCCCTCACAATACTTTAAAAACTGACTATTGGCATCTGAGGGTGAGCCTTAATTTCTAATCAATATTGATTGAATACTCATTTATTTTTTCTTTATTCTAAGAACTAACATTCAGAAAAACATGATACTTGCAATTAATATGCAATCTAGCTCTATACTTAACATCCCAATTTAAAACAGGTTTACTCTTAGAAAGTCCAGACCATCTTTTCTGATTGGATCTGCTAACTGATCTCTGTTTTTCCACAAATAATTCTGGTTTAAGGATTAAACAAAAACTGTGCTACATCAGTAGGGGTGCAAATTCTCTATTCCTCAACACACTGCTTTCGCCCTACAAAGACCACCTCAATTAGAATACATATAAAGCACCACATTCCAGACTCAAGACTAGTCAATTGTGCTGGCCAGGACAGAAAAGAGAATTTGTTTACAGTTAGAAGAGCAGAGAAAGTTTAGGGATAAAGGACATGAAGCAAAATGCACTAAAGATTCRAACTACTAATTGTGGATTTTAAAAATCCACAATTGAGATGCAAAAGCCATCCAAAATGAATAGCTCTCCTGACAATATAAATTACTGTCATACACTCTATCAAACAGTGATAATGAAGGAATATTTTGTGATTTCCCAGGTGACATAGTACTGGCAATTTCTTCTTTGTTTGTCCCCTTCTGTAATCTTCTTTAAATTTCATTGGTGAAAACATGTCTGCATGTGCCAGTAAAATTGAAATAGGAGGTCCAAAAGCAACAACAAAGCTTATGATGCTGAGAACAACTTTGTGGTTCAGTATTAACAGATTGTCTCTGAGGAGTAATTTCCATACCCTGCATGCTCCTTTCTTGTGTGTCTGAAATACTGTTAATTTTTATTAGTTGCTATTAATTTTTATTTTAGTGCAAAATAATAAAGAAATAAGATGTTTAATTTCCATTTGATTTACATTGGAAATAATGTTACCAAAGAACCATTTAGGTTACTGCACAAGATTCTGCTCTGGACACTATTTTCACTGACTGTTATTTCAAGACTGTCATTCAATCATATGACCTCTTAGAACTCTTAGATTACTTTCATATTGTTTTAGATTTGGGATAAGTAAAGTCAGAAATGATTTTTTTTATGAGGCTATGTAGAGGGTTGTAACTTCTCCATCATTCTCATCAGATTTATCAGAATGAATATTTGTCACTATGGATTTACATCATTGTGCCCCGAAGTGTATAAACTCCCATGACTAATTCAGGGTAACCATCAAATCCTCTTTTCAAACTGGAATATTTTTAGCATGTCAATGACACTGATTTTCATGTGTAAGAAGAGACAGTATATTATGTGGCAAAAAAACATTTCAAGCCTCAGAAGAATATAGTAATTATTTTCACTAGGTAGGCAGAGCTCTTTGCTTGCAGGAGCTACTTTGGTTAGCAACTGCCAGAGTATGGAATTCTTTTAATTAGAATGAAGGATGCAGAGCAGCTCTTGATTCTTTATGCTTTTAATAGCATATTTCATGATTATTTGAATCTGTTTACTGGGGAATACTTGTGAGTCACATCTTCTACCTAAACAAGTAAGGTGTGGTGTTAGATAGCTGGAAAGAGCTCTGGCTCTCTGAGTTACAAGTGAAAACAATGGAGGGCTTCAATTATGAGAAGTTAAACTCATCTAAGATGTTAAAATTGTCATTTTTTTTTCTAAAATGGTTGCTTTGTTACAATAAACACTTGAAAATTTGACAAATGTATTTTTAGAGTTGTGCTATACCCCATAATGCGTTTTTTTTTTTTAATTTATTTCTCTTAGCATTTTAACGAAGCAAAGTTAAAAAGCAGAGGATTCTGATAGTAAGTTATCTTGTCCACATGGAAGTATGCTGATGCATTGGGGAGTTCTTGAACAAACCAGAATCATTGGTTTTTATGAATTCTGTGATATCTTAAGTGAATTCTCTTACGTATTTGGAGCCTCTGGCCTCCAAGAGTTTGAAAGCCAATTAATGGATGAGGGATGTGCTAAGAGAAACAAAAGAAAATTAATCCACAGTGCAGATTATATTCATTACAATTGGCATATTAAGAAGTATCTTTGCAGCCACATGAAAAGGCTTTGTGAGGGGAAATTCAGAAACCTCTGCAGTAGATAGCATATTAGACAACGTGTTTGTGCATCTCTTCAAACCTAATGCTTGGAGTATAAATTCCTAGGGACAAGGATTCCCTCTTCCTAGATATGTGGAAAGGCTTCATGAATAGTGGTAGTGTTTTTAAAAAGGTGTTCTATAAATCTGCCTTATGTTAGCTACATTTGGATTAAAATACTCAAAATTACTTTCCTTTATGCTAAGAGAGTCTTTTTTATATATACACTTTATATTGATGGGAGTTATTTGAGGTCTCTGTGAATATTTTTTTTCTCTGAAAGGTAGATGAAAGATCAATATATTCTATTCTGAAGCAAAATATGTGTTTCAAAAACTACATTTGCTTAGTACTCTAATTTGTGAAATTTACTCATAAAGTGTGCTCTACTGTTATTATGTCATTTATTCAGAACTTTCTTTAGTCCAAATACAGGCACTGAATGCTTGCATGTTGATAGGCAGGGATATCTTTTTCTGAATATTTTACAATATTTAATTAATATTTAATTTGAAGAAAATTTCTTGAATTACTTTTTTCATTCAAAATAAATTTGTTCTCCAAATGCTGATTCTGTTAAGCAATGTTTCAGCATAAGACATCAAGTAGTATTTATGGGTAGTTCTTTTGATTTTAAATCTTAGGGCAAGGAAGCAGATGTGTTTCATGGCCATGGCTGTTCATACTAGCAACTTAAAAAAAGAAAGAATAACCTGATGATAGTATATGTGAGAGAGGCATGTTCTTTTCCAGTTGCATCTTGTAACTCAACTAATCAGAACATTTTGGTCTAGACAAGAAGCATAAATCAATTTTTTAGACTACCTCRCTTGCCATAAAAAATACAATCCTCTCTCTGTTATGTTCTCCTGTGTGCTGGCGTTACAACAGCAACTGGCAGTTTCACGTCGATTTTGATCTCCYGGTAATGTTCTGTATTTCACAGAGGAAATGAGAAATCCCCAAGGTGCTGAGTGTCCCCTTCCTTCGGATGATGAATGGAAAGTGTCAGTGCTGACGGGAAATTCAGGAACTCAAGCAAGTGTCATTCTCTGGATATATGGAGACAGAGGAGTAGCTGGACCAATAACTCTTGTCAAGGACAACAGAGAGCAGATGTTTCTTTCCAGGCAGGAGAATGAATTTCAGGTAGCTAATGAAGGCTAAGAACATTATTTTACTATGTACCTTTCCAAAGATTGTTCTGTCATGTGAAAAGAAGAAATATTTTTCTCTTATGTTTACTGCATAAAATAAATTGCTGTATAGTCTCYATGAATACTGCGTTAAATCTAGCTTGTGCATATAGTTAGCAATAGAAAAAAATGTTCTTATTTTATATCTTCTTTTCCTCATTCAGTAGCCAAATCAGGACAACTTCAGAAATAAATTGCTTTCTTGAAGGTATCTGATTTTAACTAGCTTTAAAAACTATCCACTCCTGAAATATTTTATCTAGTGTAATAATCCAATATTCCGGTATATAGTTTTCAAAGCATATTAGAAAATGGATACCCTGGAACTAGTTCAGTTATGAAAGATAGAGCTTGGCCATTTTTCAGACACCATAGTACAAATAGCTGGAATTCCGGAAATTTTATATATGGGATTACTAAGAAGACAGTAGCCCGTGCATTATCTTGAAAACATAGAGTTYTGCAATTTTTTGAAAACATCCCATCTACGTTGCAAATAAAATTATACATAGATAGGCAGAGAGGAAATTACCAAAAGGCTAAAATTTCTGCTTTGTTCAAAGGTTTCTRTGTAAAATGCATGTGTTCTGTTGCTGTCTTCAGTTTAAGCAGCAGTGATACTTTGCACATTTTGCACATTTCTTTTCAGTACTTACTCTGCTAATACAATCTTGGTGTAAACCAAGATCATTTTTGTTGCTTATAAAAATATTCATTTGTATGAATGAGGCACAGGCAGCAAGATAGCAAGCTGTAAAGTTCATTTTTAAGCACGTATACTCTATGTGATCATCCACTGGGAATCCAGGTCTCTGAGTTAGTGAATAAATCATAAGCACTTTTGAATAATGGCATGTTTGCAATGTTAATCTATATGTTCTTGAAGATATAGACCAATTTCTCTTCTCTAACAAAGCTATTGCCTGTTAGAGCTGTGCACTCTAGATATYGATCTTGTGAGGGAACAGAATCTTTCCATCAGCTGGGGCTACTACTATGATTCTTTACATCACACCATGCTATTGCTTTCAGGCATGACAAAACAAATGTCACCAAAGTACTTTTCCCTCTTTAGCCTGCAGTAGATAGAATCACAAAGAAAAAGTCTATGAGTAAGATGTCTTTTTTTTCCTATTTTTTTTTCTCTTTAAGCACTATCCTCTTCTTGTTTACCAGGATAAGTGTACATTAAAATTAGTCACTTTTTAAAATTACAGCTACTTTTTAACATTTGAATCTTTGCAAATTTGATACTTTTGATGCATTTTCATTGATATTTCCTAGAGAAAAAGATATCAAATTTTGTTTTTAAAGTATTCAGCTTTGCTATACCTATAGTTTCTGGTATTGTTAGGAGGATGATAATACACCCTTTACCATAAGGATTCTTCCCTTGGCCAGATAAGGAAAATTTTGGGCAGAAGGTACTCTTCGTGTTCTGACAAGTCCAGATTTTGTGTTGAAACTTGAAATGACCACATATGCCAAAAGATCTAAGGAGGAATTAATTAGAATAAGCAGAAAACATGACAGCAATACATATTCACTGAACACCAATACTGTGAATGAAAAGATGATGTCTCATATTACTTCAGAGGTGGAGGAATGTATTTGCAATATGTGGCAAATGCCAGCAGTAATAGTTTTTTTTCAGGCAGCCTTGTGGTACACCATTACTTTACTACTGCTTCGATCCAAAAGACTCCTTTTTAGCGTTAGTAAGAATACTTGTAGAGAAAGATATAAAGTAGCATGAGCAAAAGTAACCAAATCTGATTCCACAGAACACAATTATTTTCTCAGACCAAGGGAAAGGACAAGAAGATTAACATCACATTAATTTTGCAAGCCTCCAGGTATTGTTTAWTTTGTTAATGATAGTCAAGTTGATGCCACATCTGTGCCAATACAAATACAGGTGTGAATTCCACAGATTCTTCTAAAACAACTGTTGTGGGCTATGGAGTGCACTTTAGGATAAAAACAAGTGAAAATTGGATTTTTGTTTTAGAAATCTGTGCATAAAGCAGGGTGATTTTATACTTATAACATGAAAACTTATTATACCAAAAGCACTAATGGTGGGTAAAAGTTGATGAAAGCAGAGAGGAAATTTTTACCTTTGAAAAGAGAAGACGGCTTTTTATTAATGAAGATAAAAGACCATGTGGATAATACACTTGTAAATGTTTCCAAGAGAAAGGCAATAAAATAATTTTTGTACAATTTCAATAGATTGCTTGATCATAAACCATGGAGTGGAATCGGCCGTTAGCAACCTTTTACTAACATCACTTTTGAGAAATAATATGATAATGCATCTACTTTTCCTTTCCTAGCAGTCCATTACAATGACCCAAAATGATTTATGTTCAGTTTAAATAACAGTTAAATTTCAAACAAACTCAGATAAGTGGGATGGAATATAGTTGTATAGTGTAAAGATTTTGTGAGTAGGAGCACATATATGCTTGAAAGTGCAGTTTGTAAGGTGCAAAATATACACAGAAACCTTAAGATAGTATCAATGACTTTCAGCCTGTTTTGAGAGTTTGTTTTTTCAGTCTCCAAAAGTTTTATATCTTCCTATGCTGTGACATACGTGGATTTAAGGTCATGTTGTGGTTTTGCATTATGAAAGATTTGTGACTTGTAGTTTTGTGARTTTACTCTTATGAAGGATTCTTGCTAACTTTATTTATTTTTTTTGTCTGTACAAACTTTGAAGACTATTTCTTGTAAGAATCTTGATTCCCTTCTAGCTGAAATCTTTTAAAGCTGTAACTCAGGAAGAAATGTGTTTGATTTTGAACAGTTTCAACCATATATTTCAAAATCTCCTAATCAAACATTGTACATTCTTCCTGTATCCTCAGATATTGTAATGGTTCAGAGAAATCTGGAAACAACTGCAAAAATAAGCATACAGTTTTATATGTCTTATTTTCGTATGTGGTGTACCTATACTTTTTTCTAGTAGTACGATCCAATTTGAAAGAATGTCAAAATGCAAAAAAAATAGGATAAATGAGTTCTGTACATACATGAGAACTGGATTTTCGACTTCTTTCATATGTGATAATTGAAAATAAAGAAATGAAAAGTTTAGGATTTTTTGCAAGGTGTTATCAAGGCTTTAGCAGTTTTAGGCATAGAATACACAGGCTTGTGCTTGTTGTTAAGATGATGCTTCAAAGTATCAGGGAGACTGAAATGCCTTTTTTTCATGAATAGCTTTAATGATAGTTTGCATTGCAATACCATGCATTATTCAGCCTGAATCCTCTATCTCACAAGCTTAAAGATACCTGTTTTTGTCATAATTTTATGTTGTGTTGATCTGTATTTAATTCAGATTAAAATAAAAAGCATTGGAGATATCTACAAAATAAGAATTGAACATGAGCAAGCAAGTGACCATTTGGAGTGGAACTTACAAAGGGTGAGATTTTGATGATGATCTTTTTTTCTACTTTATTAATTTATATATGAACTAACAACCTGTATCTTTATGAAGCTTCATCTTGAAAAAATGAAATGGATAATCAAGAAAATGCTGATTATGAGACATTCTTAGCTCTTTCTCTTCTCCAGTTCTTTTAAAGGTGACAAAAGCACAGATACAAAATCATTGATACAAAGTCAGTTCCCTGAAAGGTGTAATTATATCATTTTTTTTGCAACTAGTCCTAACTCATGTGGTTTGCAGATGCCAGTTTCAGTGTTTCTTCTTCTATCCGTTAGGGAGACCCTAAGTATAGGTTCTGGCTATGAAAGATTGAAAATGGTGGAGCAGCAATTACCTGTGAAAAGTGTACAAAGTTTATATGAAGTTTTGTGATGGGTGGTCTGGTGATTAGATTGCCCAAATACATCTCATAATTGCAGCCATTTTTATAGAAAAAGAAACTGTGGTAATATTCATTTAATTAATTCTTCTTTTCTGTTTCTGTATTCTCATTATTTTTTCTCATGACATTTTAACATGCTTGATTAGGTTAACGTTAACCCAGACCTCAAAGTATTTTTTTTTCTTTTAGAATTGACAAAAAGAAGTTGTGATTTGTTTCTTACCTTGGATCTTTGAAACACAGAAGCTTATTCTTTGTTTTGCCATTCAGCTTATACAGCCTGATTTTGACAACCATATTTGCACACAGTAACAGATCTTGACATTAACTCAATGGCCTTAATGGTCAAGAAATCAAAACAGAATGGAAGTTTAAACATTTCAGTTCACTTGAATGATTGTAGGAATGATTGCAGGAATTTTCTTTCCTSTTTGTTTCAGAAAATTTCTCTCACATCTTGGTCCAAATTTCATGTAACTCTGGAATTTCAAAGATTTCCCTTCATATGAATGAATAAATTAACCTAAAAGCTGAGTTTTCAAACAAAACACTTAAGAATTTGCTATTGTTATGAATCATCAGGGAGAGCCCAACTAATAAATACTCAAAGTTGGAGCCTTGTATGTTCAATTAGAGATTAAGAAACACTGCTGCAGAAGTATTTCATGTTTGAATAAATACATGGTTTTGTGATGAAAGAAGTGTTTGTTCATTTTACATAAAATAATACTATATTGGAAAAGTGAGATAAAGGTATATATTGTCCTAGTTATCACAGTTTTAGAATTTGAGTGCAAATACTTGTTTTCATAATTTTGGTCACCAAGCTTGTGCATTCCATACAAACATTCAAAACAGAAGTGCAGAGAAATAAGATTTTGGCATTGATTTCTTTTGTTAGAGGAGACCTATGGAAAAAATATAGTAATTGCTGCTATAATTCAAAATCAATAATAACTTATCTCCAAAGGGGGATAAAAACTGTTTCTCTAACATTAGGAAACATTTTCATCCTATTGTCTTTTTAACATAAAAATGTGTCAATGTTTCCACTTCTTCCAGAAAATCACTTTTCAGTCTTCAGGACTTCATTTCTTTTCAATCTTCAGTACTTCAGTGTTGTATAGAGATGAGCTATGGAAAGAAATCAGACAGAACACCAAATTACAATTTCAAGTTTCCTTCTTCTAAAAAGAAGATTTTAAAGTCTGTGACATGTTCAAAGAATAGAGGTTGACAGTTTCAACTGGGATACCACAGATGTGGTTAAAGAGCCTCTCCAGTGATGAGTCAAATAATAGAAGTAACCAAAAAAAAAAAAGAAAGTATCAATACAGATCATTTAATTTGTTTCAGAAATAGAAAAAGAGATTTAGAAAACTATTTCTGAGTGCTGGGAAGCAAACAAGAACAAACAAAATACCAGAAACAGTGAACTGGGTAACAGTTAAATTGCCTCTTCCCTAGGTGATGCTGCAACATCTGAAGAGCAAGAAAATATTGAATTTTCCAGCAAGCACATGGTTGTCAAGGACTTGTGATAATGGAGATCAAATCTGTGAACTTCCAGTTGTGGAAGATGGAAAGCCTGTGTATCCAAGTATGCACATAGTTTGCAGCTGCACAGTTGCATATATATTGCTTACTAGGTTTTCAGTACTAGTGTCATCTGAATTATATTGCTTGTGCTGTATATTTGTAAAATGTGTGTGTGTTCCTAGAGGTCTTGAAAGTGGACATTTAGACTGACTTTTGAAGAATATATTCCTGCAAATTCACTGCAAATCAGATTTAGCAGCATTGTTTCCATTAAACTTAAAATGATTAGCATGAATGAAATAAGTTGTCATGAATGAATTGTAGTTGCATATAACTTTTGTTTTCTTCTCTTGGCAATTCTTGGAAGTTGTTTTATACCATGTTTATGTCTACACTGGCCACTTGGAGCAAGCTGATACGGATTCAGCAGTTTGGTTATGTATCTATGGAAAAAGAGGAGACACTGGTCTAAGACCTCTGCGTAAATCTGATACACCAGTGAAGTTTCGGAGAGGAATGGTAAGTCGGAAAGGATTTGCAGCTTTTACATTGTCTTAACAGGCTCCTAGCAATAACTGTTACAGAARTATAGGAAAGTAATATTTAAGACTAAGGAAAATTAGCTTCAACTAATCCAGAAATGACTGCTGACCAGAATAAGTCAAAAAGAAGGCACCAAAAAGGAAAAGAATGCTATGAAGAAGCATCCTAAGATGATAAGAGCTAACTGTGAATATAAAAACATTTACTGTTAAGGTATAATGAGTTATAACTGTCTACAGCTCTCTTCCCTCTCCTGCCTCTCCTCTCTCCTCCTCTCTTCTCTCCTCTCCTCCTCACTCCTCCTCGCTCCTCTCCTCTTCTTGAAAGCATGATCCAGCCTCTTGCATTTAGAGAGTGAAAGCTATATGCTTTGTAATTTAACAAAATTTTGCCAACCTGACCAGCTTCATGATTCTATTAAAATAATTTGTGTTAAGTGTAATGCATAACAAAGACATACAAGCATGTCAGATTTCAGTTTCTTAAGGAAAATTGTACTCTGATTTTAGTTACATTTTCTCATTTATTCCAATACATAATCAAAAGACATTTCATTTTGGATCCAGCACTTTTGATACAGGCCAGGTATCATTAACGATGTTCTTTTTTTTTTTTTTTTTGACCATTGTGAGAGATAGATCAGACTGTTAAAATACTGCAGTTCCTGGACCTTCTTAATGTTGACAAATTATGGACCAATGTCTCGACTGTTCTAGGTCAGTACTTTTGAACTGGGAGCTGTTTCTCTTGGAAAGCTGCAGAAGGTGCTGTTGCGCTGTGAGGCTAATGCGAAGTCGCAGTGTTGGTTCTGTGATAAAGTCATTGTCCGGGAAGAYGAGAAGAATTTGGAATATGTTTTCTGTTGTGAAAGGTAGTACAAAGCATTCCATACAACTAACTATAAGATATAAAGGATATCTTAGGTGTATCCCTAGGGTTTATATCTTTTCAATATTTGCATTATACTGATAATGTTCTAAATATGATTTTATGGAAAAGATAAAGACAAATTTGACTAGTTTTATAATGTCCATAGAATTTGGTGCTCCAGAATAAGTTGCTTGAGTTAGTAGTGGTCATATGACCTGTATCAAAGGTTAAAATGCTTACATTGTGACATTACTAGTGTGTACAATGTAGCTCTATAACATATAGCGTGGTGCTATAGGGTGAATTATTCTAAAGGAGAAGATTGCTACCTTTTCTAAAAATAAAATTAAAAAAAAATAATACATATATATGGTTAGTTTCTTGCCAGGAAGTTTGACAGTCGTTCAGGCAAGCTGGCTATCTTGAGCAAGAAAAGTCAATACTGTTATCACATTTATCCTCTAGTGGAGGACACAGCTTAGAAAGAGTGCATAACAGGGCACTGTACTGTATTAATTCTGTGATAATTAATACACTAGATGATGATCAACAAGAATTATTCAGTGACACAGACTGTGAAGAAGAAATGGGGAAATAAGTTCTTTTCATTGATATCTTATGCCACTGAAAAAGGTTAAAATAATTTGGGAAGGATAAGCAGCTTTCATAGGACCCAAAATGTAAAGGTAAAATATCGTGTTCTACTTCAAGGAGAGTAGAAAAATTTCTTCAGAAATCTAATATCTTGATCTTTAGCTTTATGTTTTTAATTTTACATTGATATTTTCTGATCCAGTGAAAAAACCAAAATTTTTTATCATTTATCCTAGAAAATTTCAACATTTTATCTGACTTAAAAGAAATCTAGTGTTAGTTCCAGAGAATCCAAATACTCTGACTAGATTTCAATTCAACAGACTGATATTTTTCAGCGTTTCTGGATGCAGAATATATTTGCATAATAAGGCTTTAGAAGAAGAGTGATATAAATAAGTTGTCTAGTAAGACAACATTTATTTCTTAAGACTTACTTATGTTCTCTTATGAATGAGCCTGTTAATGTTTTTAAGACAAAAAATACGGTATGTACACAAATTCTGTCAATATTTATGTGATCTAACTTGCACGTGCATATGTATTTTCACTGATCTAGGATTTCTTAGCGTATGAAGATTTAGCTACAATATTGTAATTCACAGCATTAAGTTGAGTGTTTTTTACAGTAATTTTGATCTGAGAAGTCTCTCCTTTAAAATATGGAAGGAAGAGAATATGTTTATTGAAAAAGGACTACCAGAAAGCAATCCTGTTCTCTCTCATCCTGAGGATGTCATTGCTAATAATTTCTGGTTGTATTCTGAACCTGTTCCCTTTGGGGTAGATCACTTCTCTCTTTTGCCGGGTCCATCCTACGCTTTGGTGCATACTTTTCATGCAGTGCTGGTGGGGAATGGCCAAAATGAAGCACCTTGAGACCAAATTCTGGAACCATCTTGGCTTCGGAAAGGGAACACTTGTGCCTGAACTATCCTGCAGTAGTAGTCTAAGAGACACAGGCTATTTTGTACCTTATATTTTGCACCTGAAAAGCAGAACCTGATGTCTGAAGGTGGAGGGTGGAGTAAGGAGACCTTGTCAGGACAGATGGAAAAGTTATGTAAGTCAGTGCTGGACACTGAATGTAACCAAAATTTCTCTTATTTTGTACTGTTCAGTCTTAATACTCTGCCCCTGTTTTTAAGGGGAAATAGGAAGGACAGAATTAGGTTTCATCTTTGTTTTTCTCTCTGAAATTTGAAGTTAAGAAATAGAGCAAAGATACATATAAACTAGATACCAACAAAAKGGCATTCAATTCATGAATATGGTAGTGACACATGCTTATGCTTATGCATAGTTATGTTTATACAACTCTTCGATTTGTACTAATAAAATGCTTTTGTTGGATCAGATTCTTAATTTGTGCTTTAACAATTTTTCTAACAATATACTAGGGCTGTTAGAGTTTCTTTGCTATTATACATATTTAATATGAAAATAAGATGTAGAACATTCCAATATATGGTAATATGGAGGAGTACAAATTAATTCCCACCTGCTTTATTATTTTCTGTCCTATTCTTAGATGGCTTCCATTTATGTCTGAAGGTGTAATTCATTCAGAAATTGAGCTGTACCCTCAAGGTAAGAATTATTGTTACATTAAGTCAAATCAGTAAATTTTATTTTTTTTCTCTGATGAAATCTGAGCTGAATTTATGCCTTCCAACACATGAGGTAAACCTTTTTTCTGTTTSCTTTTTACATTTCTGAGTCAATATACTTTGTGTTTGCATTGTACAGGTAAGACCTAGGGAGAAAATATATAAGGAAATGTTAGTATTACAGAATGACACTTCACATCTTTCCTCAAACCTTTTCTTTGATGTTAAAGAATAGTTCCTTTATTAACTACAGTTTCTTTGTTTGTTTGTTTCAGAATTTCAAACAAACCAACAGTTGAAAATGCAAGAAGAAGCAAATGGTAGATACTGCAAAAATTTTATTTCTTTAGGGCTTTCTCTTTCAGAACTGACTGCTTTACACATTTATTGCCATTTGTATTTATTTTAAAAATACTAATTACAGCATGTTACTTGAATATTTCAGTAAACTTCAAACTTCATATTTTAATTTAAACAATAAATCACTTTATTTAAGCTTTCTTCTTAATCTGTTGTTTTACTTTCCAACCATGTTTTCTCCTTTTTCTTGGAAATTCATAGTTTTTTTTTCTCATAATTATTGGTTATTTATCTTGATTTCAATTTTTAGTTAAAAAATTATATCATAATMCTTTCTCTCAAGTGATATATATATATATTAGTTCTTACCATTAATTTTTCATTTTCCAATTTACCTGTGATTTCACGTTTGTTCATCTTGATTTTTCTGCCCTGGCAACCAGTAAAAATTAAATTACRTATCTTACTAATATATAATATTTTCTTGGCTGTTAGGAGTGCTTTATTCAATAGGTAGAGCAATAATTCAGAGGCTATCAGGAGGAAGCTCAGATATCTTTATTCTTAATTTATTGTATCAAGCCAGATAACCACTGAGATTCCAAAACTTGGTTTTAAACTGTGTGCTCATAGGAAGTTGCTAATTATAAACTTTGTATCCAATTATTTTACAAATGATATTCAAATCTCATTCTATTCTTGTAAACTTTATTTTGAATGACAAGTACCTTTGCCCTCGCTCCTTTCTCTACCTCTTCCAAAGCATTCATTTCCTGTCTGTTTGTCAGTCTCTGTGATATGACTGTTCTGGCAAAGAGAAATCCTCCTCTATATTGTTCCAATGAGCCTGGTTAGTCCCTTTTTCATTTACACATCTGGAACTCTACTTTGCATCATTTTAGCTCTTCCTGCCTGGATATGCCACAGCAGGTAAAAGTTGCCCCATAAACCTAAAAAAGAATGACAAAGACAGAGAGAGAAAGAGAGAGAGAGAGAGAAAGAGAGAGAGAGAGAGAAAGAGAGAGAGAGAGAGAGAGAAACAGAGAGAGAAACAGAGAAACTAAGTGCATGCCAGTATTCATCTGGCTTTTCTTCAGTGGAGATCATTTAGTCCTTTCAATGAGCATTTTGATCACAGCACTCTTGTCTTGACCTTAGGAGAACGAAAAAATATAAATATAAAAATATAAAAAATATAAAATTATATCTGAATTGTTTGCAAAATAGAATTCTCTTCTGGTCAGTAGAACTTTCTAGTCTAGTGTATCTGATGTTCTAGAAACATCCATATTTATAGAATATCTTCTGAGGTACATTACCATTTTTCTGATATTCCAGAGGCCRCTCTTTGTGTTAGATTGCATCTTTCTCCATGTATGCCAACTGAATATCACATAATTACAACTTTTTTTTCCCTCTGCTCTTTTCTCTTGTAGATATGTAGACTTCTAGTTATTAAGGAAGTATTGATCTTTCACCATTCATCCACAATGAATACTAGCTTTCTATGGCAAAGTGAATAAGACCAATGTGTTGCTATTAGTTAGTGTTCTACTTTCTGTTGGAAGTGTGCARAAATGCCATGAGGATTTTTTGCGTCAAGGGGGAACTTTGAGATCCTTCTCCTATTCCYATGTTGTCCTTCAAACACAAACCTTTCTGTTTTCAGAAGAAAAAATAAACAAATCAGTAGAGGAATGAAAAAAAATATATATTTTTATCAGGTTCTTGGAGAGCTTTGGCTCTCTCTTTAGCCTGAAAATTGTATTTTGCATGCAAAATAGTTAGCAAACACAGCCTTTGAAGACAAGAGTACCAACTCTGTGGTTTTAAACCTGCATTAATTAAAAGAAAAGCCTTGGAGAGGCTAATATAGAATAGAAAAGTCTATCCAAACCACTATACAGTAGGCAATGTACAAGCCAAGCAAAAATACATTCTGGCTGTTTTAAAACAAATATCTGTTTCCCAAAGAATTTTGAGTGTTTCATTGGACTGGAGGAATGGGTGCCTTATTTTATTCTTTGTACCATTCTTCATGAGTCTTTACCTGAGCATCGTTTTCTAGCCAAATGGTCCCAAGTAAGTTAGTTTAAAATATGTATATATTGTAGGGAAACAGAAGCAGCATTTTTTTTTTTTTTCCGGTAACTCTTCTCCCTTGTGGGGCAGGATTAAYTGTATTTGTTATTGACTTTGTCTTCATCTTCTGCTGTTCTACTATTTTAATTTATACTGATCTTTACATAACTTGTCAGTAGAGATCCTTCATCAAGAAAAAGTGTCTACGGACAAAGCCATAAGGGTGGAAATCAAGAGCCAACCAGACCTCAAATATTTGGAAAACAGGASATCAAACTTTTAGCACCCCTAGTCCTAGAACTAGTCCTATTTGTCCTAGTGGGGCAAATTTTTAAGAGACAATGAAGCTGACCCCAAATAAATACTTTTGTCAAACAGTAGATWTAGTTCACCTGGGCATGACTAGACAGCTTTCTATATGCATGCAATCCCAGCTTTTCAGATGGACAAACGCATCTTCAAATTATGAATAGCTCTTTTTTTTTTAATTGAGATTTTTATTAATTTGCTATCAGCTATTGAAATAATATATATGCATTTTATGGGAACAGAAATGACATTTTAGTGTCAGGGAAGCTTTGTATAAATTGAATCTCTTAAGATTTTTCTTTCAGTGTCAGAATTTTCTCCATCATCATTTTTTTTCAYGACAATCTCAGTATCAAGCCTCCATCTAAGCAAATAGAGCTCTTGTGGACATGACATAATAACATTAATGCAATATTAATTCTCTAAAATGAAGAGAAATTTCACTTAGTTGTGTTTTTCTGATTTCATTTCYTGTTCCATTTCTGTTTTAGAGCTGTAAATAACCCAAAATATGAAGGATAGATTTTTTTTATTATTTTTGATGTTTCTAGGAATGTCACAGATTCACACAGATTCACAGAATATTTAAGGTTGGAAGGGACCTCTAGAGATCATCTAGTCCAACCTTCCTGCTCAAGCAGGSACACCTASAGCATGTGGCACAGGGTGGCATCCAGGCGGGTTTTGAAGACCTCCAGAGTAGGAGACTCCACAACCTCCCTGGGCAGCCTGTTCCACTGCTCTGTYACCCTMACAGTAAAGAAGTTGCTCCTCACCTGGAGAYGGAACTTCYTRTGCTYCAGCTTGTGGCCATTACCCCTCGTCCTATCGCTGGCCACCAGTGAGAACAGCYTGTCCCCTTCCTCCCTGCATTCTCCCTTCCTGAACTTATACATATTAATCAKATCCCCTCTGAGMYGTCTCTTCTCCAGAGAAAACAGGCCCAGCTCACTCAGCCTCTCTTCATACGWGAGATGTTCCATTCCCTTAATCATCCTGTCACCAGGGATGTCACCAGGGCCTGTGCTCATTTTTCCTGCTTTACAGGTTTAGGAGGTTTGCAGGATAATAAAGTTATGCTCTRTCTAGGATGAATTTGGAAGATTTAGTGTTTAGCCAGTCTTACGTGGCCTCTGCCAGCACTGTTACTTTTTAGGTACACAATAGCTGCAGTTTCAAGGCTAAACAATGCCTTTATTTCTGAATAAGTTGCTGTGTCTCAGTTACAGCGATAAACAGGTTTTGATTTGATTTTTATTTTTCAGAAGGAAACTGGAAGATTACTGTGGTCACCGGAGATTTTGAAGCAGCTGGAACAACAGCAACAGTGTCCCTTTATGCTTATGGAGAAAACAAAGCTTCTGGTCCTATTATTTTGGGGTCTGGGAAACACCAGCTGTTTAATCCCAACAGTGCTGATACTTTTAAGGTATAGTATGGCTGCTAAAAACACTGCAGAATATAAGGCATATGCAAAATAGCTTTTCTCAAAAGTGGGTAATTGTAATAATATACAAAACTAAAAACAATATGAGCGTAAAAGGATTTGGATTTTCTTTCACTTCATGAAATATTTCAGAGGGAGTGCTAGAATTCTATGACTGTATTTTGAATTAGCAAAAGTATTCAGAATTACACAAAAGCAAACATGTCTTTCAGAATCAGCCTTATATGGCTGAGGTTCTAGAAAATAAAATTTCTTTTTCTCTCTTCTTTCCTCTGCTGGTACTAGTTAGATAGTCCTWGCTATGACCTGGATGTATATGGATTTTTCTAAGTGTCTGTTCACCACTGTGTACTCTTCCATGGGCTTCCAGAGGTATCACTGAAGCACTTTGCCCTGAGAACCTGTTCCTTGAGCAGGTAGGAGGAAAAGAGAAGGGAGAGTTACTAGAATCAAATCAGTCCTTTTTGGCGAGCTCAGGGGATCCAGRCCATTACCTGAGAAGTGCTTCAGAAGCATGGTATTTCCCAGCACTTCTGCTAGCTCCTTTAAGTTTCTTCAATTCTTATAGCTCCTTAGGATTGTTGCAATCATTGCAGCTAAAGTATGTAATTTAGAATCAAATTATTCATATATAATAAGCAGATGATGGAGAATTACTGACAAATTTGACAGAGAAACTTTCTTTGCATTTTTTATTTTAGCTTTCCAGTTTGAAGTATAAACTTATCAATGAAATTTCATGAAGTGCACCTTATGATTTATTGCATCACATGATGAATTTATAYGTAGAAACTTATTAGTCTTTTTTTTACTTTGATTTCTTTCAGTTTAAATAAAATCTTCAGCTGTTTTAAATAATCTATGCATTAATAATTGACACTCTTCTCTTTAGATACTGCCTTGTTAGAATTTGTCATGTTTTTCACTGCACATCTTTCATTCCTGTATCCTCCATCCATATTCATTATTTCATCAGTCAAAACTAAGATGTCTAAAATAAAATGAGAAGCAGTGGGAGAAAAAAAATCATGTTCTAAAAATAGGTTGAAACAAAACCATTTTCATGTTTTTCCTCTCATTGTCAAAATAAAAGTCTTTAATGAGCTCAGTGAGATTTTTTTCCGAAGTGAGATTACAAAAGTGACCACAAGCACCAACATGACTTTTTTACAGCCTTTTATGTCCAAAAACAGTTGGACAAAACATTGAGCAACCCAGGCTTTTCAATAGATACGCCCGAGGCAGCCTAAAATGGTTATCACATTGACTTCAACTCTACTTGAAACTGTCCATCTCTCTGCTAAGGATATCCAATAACCACATGAACCTCATTCCTCACAGAGATAAATGGAAAAAGTATGTAAAACTATCTCTACAAAACTATAGGCTATGCAATAAGCAAAATTTAGCCAGTCCCAATAAAAACATGTAAAAAGACCTAAGGTTCATAGGAAACMTTGGAGGAAAAAGCAAATTAACTTATCTTCAAGAAATTAGAGTGAATGGATATTGTACTACTTGTTCTGTAATTCTTAGCATGGAGTACTATCAATTTTTTTCTTGTTATGTAGGAACSCCCTGTGAGAATTTTAGGTCCCTTTACTCAATTTCAGGTTTACTTTTTCAGCTATTTGTTGAAGTCCAAAATGGAAATATTGGAAATATAATTGAAATATAATTGAAATATTAACATATAATGGGAAACAAAACAAGAAATATCCTGTATCTCTCTTGGGTCTCTCCTTGTATCCCTTTATGATGTCTGTGTAGCCTCCCTTAAGCTTTGATTTTTTTTTTTTTTTTTTGATATTGTCTGACTTCACTGTCCTTTATTATGATTATGCTTGTATGCTGTATGCTTCAGATAAAATGATTTTCACTGGGCAGTATAGGGCATTTCTTACTATGAGGCATGTTGAAWCTGTTTCTCAACCCAGAGATAATTGTTAATGTTATTGAATACCACARATACACGGAAAAGTTGAAGTTAGAAGGAATGTCTGGAGATTGTCTAGTCTAAACCTCCTGCTCAAAGCTGAGCCCTCTAGAGAAAGTTGTTGAGGACATTGTCCAATTAATTATGAATATATCTCAAGATATTATCCAAGCTCTCTGGGCAACATGTTCCACTATTTGACAATTTTCATCAAAAAAAAAAAAAAGTAATGATGTTTAAGTAGAATGTCTTATATTTCAATTTGTATGCATTGCTTCTTGTCCATTCAATGGATACCAATGAAAAGCATCCTGCTCTATCTTTAGTCACCCCCCTTGTCCCGATCTGGTATTCATACAAATTAATAAGATCCCCTTAAGTCTTCTGTAGGCTAAACAGTCCCAAACCTCTCAGCACTTCCTCATATTGCAGAAGCTCCAGTCCTTTAAAGATCATTATGGCTTTTTGCTGGCTTCACTCCCATATTTCTTGTACCAGAGATCCCAAACTGGAAACACAACTCACCAGCTCTAAGTGGAAAGGAATAATCACCACTGGATTCCCTCTTCCTAAAGCAGCCTAAGATATTTCTAAAGAAGCCAGGCTTTCTATACATCAAGAATATATAAACAAAAAATACCTGAGTCTTTAGAAAGGCAGAGCGGAAAGTAATTCAGATACACTCACACTAATCTRCATTGTCAAGGAAAAACAATGTAGCAATGTCTGTTAGAATGGGTTTTTTTTTTTTTTCAGTGCTTTTTTATCACTCTTGTCTGAATCATAAATACTGTTGTAAGCCCACTGGAATAACCGAGGCCAGAGACCAGTCTGTGACTGTGTGACCTGCCACATTGTTACAGAATCACCTCGTCAAATGGAGAATAGATCAGTGATCTAATCCTGATCCTAGGTTATGAACTGAGATGACCACCCTGTATGTACCTTTTCTTAAATGAATCTTCATGTGTCTTCAGAATCATAGCAACACTTTGAAGTGTTACTCTGTATTCAGCAGCACAATCTTACAATTCATCACTTCTTCATGTGTAAGCTGTTAGCATGCAGACACAGTATCATTCTGTTAGTCTGATTTACATAYATGTAATGAAGATTAAGTAGAACTTAATTTTCTTACATGGCTTGGCCTTTGCAGAGCTTTCTTACAGCCTAGGCTAGGTTGTATTCACCTGTATTCTGTAGGAAGGTCGAGTGAGTAGGGTTGTTGAAATATCTGTAAGATGAAAGGATGTCAAGTGAACTGGAAAAGAAAGCCCTTAAGTGTCACTGTACAATACACACTATTTATGCATCCAGCTTGGTTTTATGACAAAAAGAGTATGAAGGTGGAAGAAATGTTGGGGTTTTTTTTTTTGTGTTAAATTTACTTCTATTCCTTACATGTTCATATCCCTGTATTTCAAGAGACTGTTAAGTTTCAATGGGAGTGCCTGCAACATATTCTTATTCTTGAGTTAATGTGTAACTGTGCCAAGTTCATTGGCTACAATTCAAGAACTGGTTGAGTTCAGACATCTGGAAAATGCAAGCATCATGGGCAGACCTTGGGTGCTTTGCTGGTACATTAGGTATGATATTTCTGGCAACATTCAGCAGTTATGTGCTCACATGTAGAAATATCTTCTTCTCCCAAAGAGTTATCCAGTCTTTTCATATGTCAAAGGTTAAACTAATGCGGTCCATGATTTTTGTTACTCTCCCTGAAGCACACTACTTTTCTTAAATTTTGTTGATGAAATGGTTTTACATAGAATTCCTAACTGTCTGTTAAGCATAGACCCTGTCAGCTGTATTAGGCACTGGGATTTCAGTATAGTTGCTCCTGAAGAGTAGTTTTTAGTATAGTTACTCCTGATGTATCCAAATAATTTTCATACTAGCCTGAGTTTATTTCAAAGAAATTGCAGAGTACATTCTGTACAACAGAAAAGTACCTGTACCTTCCTTCCTCTGCTACATAAAAGAGGAGTCATTATATATATACTCTATCTTTCCTTTTACTGAGATGTTTTTCCACTAAACAGTCTCTTTTTAACTAAAGAGCTCTCTCTTCACTTTTCACTTAAACATCTCAAGTACATGAAAATATGTCATATTGACTTCACTGAAAATATCCTATTCATGCTAGGGACTGGAAAAAGTATTTGCCGTCTTATTTACAAACAGATTTAAAATTTAGTCCTTGTATCCTGTTCAAGATGAATTTCTTGCTAATAAACCTGGATTTCAATTTAGAGACACATTGTAAAATACGACTTTTGTTAAACTTCAATTTCAAAAGATATGAGCAAATTTTGTAATGCACAGGTTAATGAAAATGTTCCCATTGCCTTCAGTATGAGGGGAATGAGTCCTATGCTTGTGCAAGTGGCAAATTATAGTGATGCAAAACACATGGTTGTACTAACCAGCAGGCTAAATTTGACTAAACTGTGACGCAAATATGGTCCATGCACCATAAGGAAATGGTGCCTATTTTTTATATAATATATATTGCTACTAATATTATAAAATATTATGAGCATTGATACTGATGGATGTGCTGGTACATATTTATTGCCTGTAGTGGCAAAGAAAATGATGAAAAAATAGTAATTCCTACTGTCATTGTATCACAATGATATAATTAAAGTTAATAAGCGTTGACAGCCTGTCTTACATAAGTAAGGTCTGTATAAGGTCAAACTGCCCATCTTTTTGAGAACTTATCACAGAACAGGGCACAATTCAAACAAAAAACATCTAATACATGAGACTGGGTTTCACTGTCAACTGACAGATGAACTCTAAACGGTGATTTAAGTGTTGTGTAAAAACTTTATGCTGGAGGTTAGTGCTTGTCAGAATATGCTCTAATAGGCAAGCCCTAAGAAGATCAGCATATTTGACAGGTTTGTGATTTCTAGATTCCATTACCTAAATGAGATATCTGTGTTTCTACGCCTTGTTCATTAACTCCATGGGAGATTAGGTCTTGTTTATGATCTATGCCTGGCTGACATAAACCACATCAGAATCACAAATTCTTTCTTCAGAAATGTTATCCTTTAAATCATATGATAATCATGATTTTTTAGCCAGATCCAAATTCTGCTATATGCAAGCATAAAAAGTTCCAGAGGGGAGTTCTAAAATCATTTTTTAATATTTTTATAAACTGACCTTTGAACCTCAATGATACTTTGACCTTATGCTTTGTACGAGAAACTCTTGCTGTCTGATGATTTTGTCAGTTCTTTTTGTTTCTTTTTCTGGAGATTAGGAAAAGATTAGATTCAAGCTGTGAGTTTTGCTGCAACACTTCACTGCTTACCAGAATCAGTATGCCTTGAGAAGCAGGACTGATTAATCTGAAGGACTGTTGTAGTAACTCAGGTGTAATGTTGCTAGGACTCCAGCAAGCCTGTTTAGGGCCACAGACATATCCTAAAATATCTAATCATTCCATCTCTGTGCTTCCTTGATATTTGAGAAGTTTGAGGGCCTTGTAACATCTGATTACAGTGTAGAGGAGGAGTGTCTTTATTGTCTCTGTTCTTCAGTAGATTCACAACATACACGCTGAGCAAATTGTTGCTATTCTTCTCTTTTTGTGCCTGCATAACTTCCACTAGTGTAAACAGAAATTGCATGGCCATATCAAAGAAAGACTAGACAGCTCTTCCTGACATTACATTATCCCTCAGCAAAACTGCTAGCATTGCTCTTAGCTGGCARAATTACCATCCATTAATTTCAGCCTGTCAATCAAAATATAGCGAAGCACAACTTACCTTGAAACAAACAGGATATTTAAAAAAAGAATTAAAAAACCAATACTTTTGACTTTTGTCTTTTCTCTGAAAATCCCAAAGATTTGCCATGTCCCTGTGAGTGATGGATAAGTGTTGTCCTTGTTGTAAAATTAAGAAAGTGAAGAACAGAGGGCTTGTGGAATGTGTCTCAAGATGACTGAAGCTACGCTAGGAATATAACCTAGTAGCCTAAYTTCCAGACTGGTGCTTTAGTCATGGGACCCTTCATTTCTTCTCTGCATTGCCATTTTTTTTTCCACATTTCTGTTAGAAGGACTAGTTCCATAGAAAACTGAATATTACTTTTGCGGCTGTGGTGCCATAATAGAAAATAGCCAGGCTAAGTTTTTTCTTCTTTACTAGAGCAACAAAGTCAAGTTTGCTYTGCAACAGTTTGCAGAATGTTCTGCACACAAAAGTAGATTTATGAATGTCAGCTTGTGTCCACTTCATGCAGAAGTTCAAGATTATGTAGTCAATACTGGAAATGAAGGAGCAACCTCAAGATATAGTGCTTATCCTGGCAGAAGAATATTGTTGTGAGAAAATTTTAATTTGCATTTCACTGCAAGAACAAAATATGACATACATTTGACAGGATTCCAATTGGCGAAAAGTAGCATGTTAGTAAGTCAATACCACTGAGAGACCAATGTGATATCTGATCTGACAGCATAAATTGTTTCAACTCTTGAATATACAACAGGCTGAAGAGCTCAGGAGAGCTGAAACTAAATCTGCAATGCTCTTATATGTCTCCCAGAATATGACATATTTGGTCTCTGCCATTGACATCCTTGCCTTAATTTCTACCAAAGATAAACATCGGTTTTTGGCATGGAAAATTCCTTAACAATTTGTCAGGAACCCTTACTAAGCATGTTTTTAGTTCAGCAGTGTTTATCAACATTTTTAATAGGACTTTCAGGCTCACAAGTACAGAATTGTCTTTAACTGCTCTATCTCCTGTGTAAATTATGATTGCAAAATCTAATAATTTCTAAATGTAGCTTGAAATGATGCCTTCTACTTTTCATGCCTGATAGTCAATAGCAAGCAAGTAAGTGTACTTATACAAAAGTGTAAGTACTACGGAAGGATAGAAGACATAGAAAAGAAATAAACACATGAAAGTTGTAAGATGTTAACCAGAACTTCACAGAATCTAACTGAACTAGGAATATCTTCTGGAGGAATTTAACAGCTTGTACAGAATATCTATTCTGCTTTGATTTTTCCTCAAACTGTTTAATCAGGTTGGAATGATTGCTATGTTCCTTATCCAGTGACAGAAAGCCCTGACRTTGTGATGAATAGGTTTCATCATTTCTTCTCCTATTTCAAATTGTTTCTTTTCGTTTTCATTCCTTGATCAGATATACCATCTCTGTTTATTTTTGTGTGCTGTTCTTTCCAATGTACCAGTGCTCTACCAAACTTCAGCTACAACATYAATACTCTTTGTTGATCAACTTAGAAATATATCTGCCACCTTAGATTTCCTTCTGAACAAGAACTTTAGCATATCCTATATTCAATTAACATAATTAAGAATATATGGCTTCACTTTTCAGCGTATAACCAGTCACAACTGTTGTCCTCATATTTAAGAAACAACAGAGTTATACTAGCCAGTCCACAGAGCTGTTCTATAGAGGGAAAGAACATTAATTTTCTGTGAAAATTGATCAGTGCAAATTTGCACCAGCAAAAAACAGTGTGGGAAAAACTCTCACTGTTCAGATTTACTAATATTACTTTCCACAGCAAATCTTATAAACCTCCAAACACAAATTTTAGTTTTTTCATCATTATGGCACTATTCTTTTTTTTTTTTTTTTTTTTTTTGATGATAAGCAGTAGCAAATTGGTATAATCATATAAAATGATCAACTATTTTTGTTCTTTTATTCAGTATGATTTTTACCCTGTACCATGAGCCATCAAACACATCACTGAAAATGAGAAAATGAGAGCTTAGAAAGTAGTTAACCCCACTTTTATGTTTAGGCTCCTGTCATCAGCATTGCTGAGGAAACTTCTGCAGCCCGAAATGAAGTGGTTCTTATTTCAGGGCTGCASTATTCAATGTGACAWAGTCATGTTTTATTGTTTAAATTTRCTGCAGTGTGGCGTCAGCACTTCAGAAACTGTTAACCCTGACACTAACACACATAAAAATAGAAGACAAAGAGAACAGTGGGCCGCAGCAGGCTGATAAGTGCTAGGAATAGTTAATGGAGCGCTGCTGATGGTAACTGTATAGGCTGCAATATAGATTGTTTCATGCAGCACTGTCTGAAAGAACTTCTGTTTGTGAAAGTATTTGTACAGTAACACCAGTTTACATCACTGCTCTACAAAGTGGGTTCGGTCAAGAGTGCTAAAACCAAACTGAATTGAGTCCTTTGACCATTTTGGATGATACAATATTGAAGTCAATTACGTTATTCTTACAGACTATTGCAGACTATTCCATATGCCTTAGTGTGATTGCTCTGGAATTTATTATATATTAAAGCTTCATTTTCTCAAGAGCAAAACTCTTGATTACGTGTTAATTGTATGCTTAGCTTGCATGCACAGTGAAAGGAGATTGTTGAAAGGTGACATAAAAACTTATTATTAAAACTTCTATTTTTCATTGCAGATTAATCTCAGGGGTCTTGGGCAGCTATATAAAATTCGCATTGGCCATGACAACACTGGAGATGATCCTGGATGGTACCTGGAGGAAGTGAGACTTCAAAGAGTGGTTCCTCTTTCTGATCAGGAAATTTGTCTCCCCGTGGAGAGTTGGCTTGCCGAAGACAAGGATGATGGGGACACGTGGAGAGAAGTGGCAATTAAAAATCCCACAAAGGAGCTTTTGCCATGTATGTGCCAAGTATTTTAGATTATATAATCACTAGCTGTGTCTTGTGAGTATATGAGAGCTTTTCATGCTTCCTGAGCAGAACTGCCCAAAAGCCAGTGGAAACATAAGCTGTCCCTTCAATTACGACCATCTTTCTAGTTCCACAGAAATGGGAAAATATTTGTTTTACTACATGCATTTCCTCCTCACAACTCTCCACACAAAAAAGTTATGGCCAAGCTATCCTTCCCCTCCACCTCTGAAAATGACCCCGAATCAAATATTTTAGAGCAAGTWGTCTGTACACATGTAGCATGAAGCAGCAATATCAAGATATCCAATGTCAAGTGAAAACCAGCTCTTTTATAACAAGCTTGATATGAATCATTACACATGTAATGATTCAAGAATCAAGTCACAGCTATAAATATGGAAATAGCTAACTTCAGGATGGCATTGTTGAGACCTCAAAAGCTTGATGATGACGGTCTGTTCTCTTCAAGTGAAGAAGGAAATAGGCCACCTAAAGTAATTATTCTAAAAGTCTTAGGCCTCTACAAAAGAACCTGGAGATCTCATAATCTTTTAGCACATTTAATATAATAGTTTTTTTACAGGCTTCTCTTGACAGGATAGCAATGATGCAGCTGGTAGAGGATACTGTCTGGTAGTGGCAGATCTTGTCTGTGCTGTCATTCAGGGAAACTATTGAATAGAACATACAGAGCATTGCAGGAATCCATGATTCAACACACAAAAGGGGCATCATGCACTTAGTAACAACCAAATCATTTCATAAGAAAAGAGCAAACAAGTGAAAAGCTTCCATTCAAGGGAATATAATTTTATCAAAGCACCATCAATATTGGTGATGGGATGTTTTCCTATGGGTTTTAAGGCCAGAAGAAACAAGTGACTCCCATCATTACAAAGACCATAAAATACAAACAGGTATGTGCCAATCCAGTTTTCTTCTCTGCATTCTTTTTGTTATTCTATAGAACATTTAGTGGATTTAATAAGAGATTGGTCAGGGCAAACCCGGCCCTATGATTGACATATTCCATAGTACACCGCTGAGTTCATCCAGTGGCATAGAATCATAGAATCATAGAATCATAGAATGCCAAAGGTTGGAAGGGACCTCAGAGGTCATCGAGTCCAACCCCCCTGCTCA